GCCTTTCTTCTCAGCTGGTAGTGGTCCGTTGAGCGTCTAGCTAGCCGTTGGCCGCACTTGCTGGTGCTGTGGTACTTGCTGCGGTGGCGCGGCGCCCGAAATGCCGATCAAAACGCATGTCAGCAGTTCAACCACCAAAGTTTAATTGATGCAGGATACATCCGGGAAGATTAACATGGAACCTGAAAATGGACCTTTGGAAGACTACTTTCCTTTACAACCCAGTGGTTTTCAGGTTCTATGTTAATCTTCCCGGGTGTAATATTAATAGTTCATAAAGTAATCAATATATTGTATCACTTGACCGACCCCAAGGTTTACATCATTTGTTGAATTTGTTTCAATCCTGTCAGGTTTTTTGCCGTTTTCATGGAGCGGCGAAGAAATTTGCACCCACGCCGACGCCTACACAGTGTGTTTGAATATATAGTTGTCTATTGTGATATGGCTGTGGGTCAAAATGTTCGACCCTGGTTGATCAATAACACAGAAAAAATCAGAAAAAAACGAACGGAACACCGAGACACCAAACGATCACCCGGTGGGTCAAAGAGACGAGACGCTCGAGACATGGTCCACCTGACCCTGGACGGCCGAGACATGGTCATGAAACGTCCCGAAAGGAAGATGAGTGACAGCAACGGTCCCAATGGGACTGCACATATGGAAGTCAATGCACCCTTAAAGTTCATCTTAAAACCATCCAATATGATCCAATGTCTATATATAAGCTATATATATATATATATGTATAAATATTCCAGTCCCATGGATGTTGATATAGACCCTAAAGGGGTCTCCAACCAATGCTAGCAGTTGAAATGCCCTGTGGGGCCCTGTCCCCAGGCGCTTTCACCAAGCTCCGGTGGCCCACCACATTCATTGCCATCTGCACCCGTCGTAGTGACGGGGTCACTGGCTGTACTTCGCCCAAAAGCCGGAGACCTCAACAGAGGCTGGTATAACATGTTCGTATACCAGAACACACCATTGCCAGCAATAAGAACAGAAGCTCTTCACCACGCCATCCAGAAAACAAGAACTCCTTTGAAATACGCGACTCGAATGGCGGGTTTCGCCGTTTCCCTCCCGATCTGCGAAGGCCAATACCAGCAACTGATCGGGGCGGTCGCATCGAAAAACACCAGAAAGCCGAGAAAGCGCGATGTTTTACCAGAAGACGCCAATTCTCTCTCTCTCTCTCTCTCTCTGTCTCTCTCTCTCTCTCTCTCCTGTCACACCTGGGATGAGTTAGCCTCTTCACCCCGAAGTGTTGAATGTGGTTTGGTAGAGATTTCAGACTCCTTCAGTTTCTGAACAAAAACGGTTCAACTAACCAGGACCCTCCTGTCGGTAAAGGGGTGTCTTTTGTTTAGCCCGTAAAGCCGGGCTATAGGGGTGTCCATTATACCACCCCTTGAAGGCCCTGGAAGGTATAGTATTTATAGGTTATCCACTAACTGGGCAAAGATATGTAGAGATGTTGTTTCCAACAGCTTGGGTGTCACACCTGTCGCAGCAGTCACGTGTCACCCCTGTCGCGGCAACCACACACGCGCGCGACTGAGGGGGGTCGATCTCGTGCGAGCCGGGGCCAGTAGCAATGTTCGACTTTGAAAGCTATCTCCTCCACCTTCCAGCAGAAGCAGCACTGCCGTCCGAGGCTCCAAGTGGGCACAAATAGGGATGGTTTGGGACTCCCATCCAGTGAGTGTATATAGGGCTGAGTCGTGGCACTGGGACCCTGTTTTTTTTTTTTTTTCGAAAGGAACATGAACGGAATAGACGACCTACAGGATCCTGCAGGAGGTCCACCTACCAGTGGGTCTCCGGAATTTGGATCGAAGGCCACCTATCTCAACTCAGAAGCTGGTCATCCCATGTAAAGTTTTTGCTCAAAGGGGTGCTGCTCAAAGGGGTGCTGCATGGTGCTGAGAGGAGCTCTGAGAGGGACTCACAAACCATCAACATTCATGAATCATGCTCTTCAACCCTTTGCTACTAGTAGCGTCCTTGCTCCTAGTAGCGATGCCAATAGCTTCTTGTTCCTAGTAGTAAAGCCAGGAGCCCCTAGTAGCGTCCTTGCTAGTATAGTAAGATGAACCATGTTCATACCTCAAAATACACATGCCTCCACAACCAATTGGTCGCTCAGTCGCTCAGGAACCCTGGCTGGCGCTTATTTGAAGGGCCAAAGGCCTTTCTCTTTGTATCACCATGAAATTTTCAAGCTGCAAGTGGCTTCTGCTTCTCTGCAAATGCTTTGAAGATCTCGAAATGATCCGTGGACCTCTGCTTCCACGTGAGAAACGTGGAGGAGACATGTGTCGCAGCCGTCCGAGGCATTGGATTCCGGACTCGTCGATCGGGCCGCGTAAGCAGCAGCGAGGAGAGGACACCACCAAACACTCCATGTACCAGGACCCTCCTGGCCAGGCTGTTTGGAGACCCGACCACAGGTGGTTTCTGGGCACCTGTTGTCACCAGGAAGCACCTGTTAGAGAGTGCTGGTATGGTATATATAGTATATGTCTACATTGACCCTGAAACCACCCCAACTGATCGGCCTATATGGCAGTCCCATTAGTCGTGCCTGGGATAGGACACCCAACCCAGGCCTATGACCCCGCACACATCTAAAATGAAGCGTTCTAGAGTGGCGCCCTAAACGAACTGTCCAATCTCGTCATGTGCCTTCGGGTCCAAAACACCTGTGCTCACCCTGGTTGAAGAATGGCATGTCCCCAATCTCCAAAGAGGTGACCTGCAGGTGATCAACTGATCAATGGGAGGCAGATCGAAAACTGGTCTGCGGACTTGAGAGATGGTTCTGCCGGTTCTGGTTAGCCGGTTCTGGTTCTCCCGGTGCTTTTGCGACATTCTGACACATGTGTTGCTTCTGAAGAATTCCCTGCCAGACTATGAAGAATTCATCTGTATTCGTCATGCTGGGATATTCAGCATCCATCCCAATCTAGGATACTTAAGTATCTTCACAAGTTCACTGCTCGTGATAAGATACTGACTCAAGAGTATCTTGATAAAGATCCCGACCATCTTTCACGGCTGACCACATGCTTTCTTCGCTTTGTCGTTCGGGGTTTCACCGCATCAAACCCTAACGAATCCGAGCTCGACACCGTTCGGGGGTCGGACAGGACAAAACCGTCGCAGGCAGGGGGAAAACGGGGCCCACCCCAAACCCTATCTGGTGAAGGAGCCCGGATTCTTAGGGAAGGGAAACAAAGAGAACTTTTCAGACCAACCAGAACAACCAGTCTGAAAAGGGGAATGAACAGGGCGACACTACCAGCACCCTCCAACAGGAGACTGACCAGCACCTGACTCACAAACCGGTAGAGGTCACCACCTACACCGGCACCTTGCTCTGTTGTTCCTGCCAGCACCCAACGAGGAAACAGGTCACCACATGCCACTTTTTAAGTCTCTATTTCAGCGACCATTTTGGAGACCTGTAGAGTCGGGTGCTGGTGCAGGTCAGGAACGGAGCTCATTTTACTGGAGTTGGTCCTACAAAAACACTACTCAAGCAGGTAAAAGACCACGCTTTATTGGGTCGGACTGGACTTGTAGGGATAAGCACAACAACATGTGAAATGCCAATATGGAAATTCCAATCCTACTAGCAAAGTTGCCTTAGCATGCAGTGGAAGACCTTCGCCAGGCCCAAAATTGTCTTGAGCCCTCCATTCAGCGAGAGCCATTCCATATCATTCACAAATTTCACCGCATAATACTTTCATTGCAATGCAAATTGAAGGAAATTGTCTTGAAACTCAATTGGAAGAACGATCCTGCATTTTGAATGCTAAAATACAGTATATCAACCTAAAAAAAATCCGTCCGACATTGAACGGGACCCTGAGATGACCACTGACTCCTTCAGTTTCGGAACATCAAGATTCACCTTTCTCTACAAGGTCTTGGGAACCCTAGAAATCCAAGTACCTTCTCAGATGGTGCTGTGTTCGACACCGTTCTGTAGGTGCGAGGGTCCAGTCGTACCTTACCTGAGAAGGTCCGACTGGATCGCTAGGGCTAGGGTAAGTGGGGAGTCTCCCATTCCAATGAAAGGTTTTGCAGCTGATCCACTGACTGGGTATCACCGTCCGTTCTCGGTCGTTCCACTGACTGGTCAGACCCTGTGCCCCAGTTGACCCGATCGGCGACTCGACTCGTGACGCGCCGTTGAGTCGTTCGACTGCACGGTGCATCGCCCGACGTTCTGCGCTCCGGGCAGTCTGCCAAAAAAAGCGCTCCGAGATGGGAGGTGAGATGAGGTTTTTGGACAGTGAGGGGGCGAGAAGAGCCCAACGACATCAGAGTTGATGACCAAATGGAGGACCCCACGGTTTTCTGTAACCCTCAGGAACTCTGCTATGATGGCTCTCGTTGCCAACTACAGTCAGCAGCATGAGCCTCATGAAATGCATGCCTTTCACTCGCGGGTGGTCGTGTGGTAAGCCTTTTGGAAGTCGATGGAAAGTAGCCAGAAACCCAAGGTCGACACCAGAAATGGATGTTTCACCAAGAACCAGAAAGAAGTCGCCCTTTAATTTAAGGTCCATCAACATCTTCAAACAAACATTTTTGCGACCTTTACGGATCACCGCGGACCACGGTACGAGCGGATGTGTGCTGGACAAGTCTTCCACGTCAGAAAACCATCCACGATGGTTTTTATCGACTGAACTCCAGCTTCTATTAAGGAGGGAGTCGTCCTGCCCCGTTCTTGGATGGTGGAGGATGAATGGTCTATAGCAGCATTACACAGATCATATACCCAGCCCCCTAGATCCCCCTGCTGAACATTACAAGAGTTTGGCCTTGAGATGCCAACAAATCCATAAATCCTCATCCTACTGAGCATCCATTCCAAGAAAGGTGATACTGACTTGAAGGGCTGTGAGTGATAATAGACGATAAGCATTTACGACTATTTGGTGGCACAAATTTCTCTGTGGCTTCCACAGATGGATGTCTATTCGTGTGTCGTTTGATGCCCCGCGCAAGACCAGCGATCGTGCAAACCTCGATGAAAACATCAGATCCTGCATGCGATCCGATCAGCTGCCATTCCTGATCCAGGTGCGGCCAAACAGCTGTAACTTGGATTTGCTTGAACCGAGAAAACATACATCACCAGAAGGGGATTAAGCCAATTTGGAAAAACAACAAATCATCCTAATAAGCAAAACCAAGGTAACCTTCTGTGCTCTGATGGCTACCACCTTCCAAGAGGGAAGGCACCATTTCCGAACTTTAGGTCATCCAAGATCTCCAGCCCTGCTTCTGGCCCAAGATCTCCGAACGCTTCTAGATTCCTCGATCCCAAAAATAAATGAACGCTTATACCAGCGTATAGCGTATAGGAGACCCGAATGGAATACCGGGTGCCTAGTTGGTCTTGGTGGTCTACGGCTATGGGGTCCAAACATCACCCCGTCACTATGGGGTCTTCTGGGGTCTTCTGCGTGTGTTCTTTTCTTTTAAGAATCCGAGCTCGGGCTGAGGGGTCGAAGCCTCCGGGGTCTGGACCTGAAGCAAACGGTTTGATTTCAAGGAGTCTACCTGGCCCTTTTTTTGGGGCTTCTGGCCCATGTCCTCAGGTTCGGTGGTATTGACAGTTTGTGATAACTATACTCATCACCCACCCAGAAATAAATATCCCAAACAATTCAGACCACCACGAACGGCCAACGGAATTTCCGGGGTGATAATTTAATAATGGTTTCCGGCCTGTTATGTTTTTCCCTTGAACCCATTCCAACACACTCCATGTACTACTCCATGTGTGGAACATTGGAGCGGTTGAAAAGGGGTGAAAAAACGGTGAAAGTATCGGTAATTACATCTGCCAGTCCCATATGGGACTGGTCATTGGAATCTGTGGGTGTGTATGAAAATATGGAGATCCAGTCTATCCCCCAGTCGTACCCATGCCACTTCGGGTCACCCGGTCATCCACACGGTCACGTCGCTTCTCTGTCACCTCCGGGTGTCGAGATCACTTCTTCGGCCGAATCCTCGTGGGAGACGGTGTCCTCCTCCAACATCGTGGACACCGAGTGCCGCGTGGGCGACAAAGCGCCGAACGTGGCCTGGGCGACAGGGTCGGCGGTGGAGCGTTTTTGGGGTGGGCAGGGGTGGTTGTTGAAAGGTGGCCCGGGAGGTGGCGTTTTGGGGAAGGGAAGGAGAGTGGTGGAGGCTGTGGCTATGGGCGAAGTGCTTTTCTTTTTGGGCGGGGGGATGGTAGCTGGAGAAGTTGGAGAGGCTCTAGGGCGGGGGCCCTGCGTTTGGACTGGACCATGAGGTGAGAGAGGCGATAGCACCGTGCAGGTGTTTGGGGGGCGGGAAAGAAAGGTGACATCACCCTGCAGCATCCTGTACCTCCCCAGGGAATCTGACCACAATCCAAAAGACATCCAAGTGAAACGGAAATCAGCTGGGAACCGGCTGTGACGACCCACGACTCACGACCCACGACTTCTGATTCGATGAACCGTTCGGCAAAAACCACCGACCGGGTCGATCGAAGATCGATGATCGATCGGTCGCCATCCAAATGGGTGTGTGTGTGTTTTGATCGGTTTGGTCTACTATAGATGTATTTCCCTTCGAAGTCTTGCGGTCGTTGCCTGGGAGGTCTCCCTATTTTAATACACACCCACACTGGAATCTCTTGGAACTTATGGTTTAGACTCGCCGGAAACAAAGAGAGAAACTACGCTTTTTGCACCTGTTGGACCTTCAGTGGAAAAACGTTTGCAAAATGGGTATCTTCCTCCCAAAAAACAAAAAATACCGTGGTTTTTCAGATGTTTCAGAGTAGATGGCAGGTTTATCTGAACAAGTTCGGTGCTTTATATGGACCCTCCAATCAAATAACCATCTATTCTGAAACCACTGTAAAGTCCATGCTTATCCATGGACTGGGTAGGTATATAGCTGTAAAACAAGGTCGCCTTTGTTTGCTGAGCGAGTGCACTGTCAAACAGCGACAGACCTGGGGCCATTTCTCCCGCAAGGATTCGGTGATGATGTTCGAAGAACCCCATTAGTCATCGACTTCGGGCGTAGTTGTTGGTATTTATGCTTCAACATCTCCCAAAACATTGATGCATCAGCTTTCCAAAAGATACCCTGAAGACTGAAGACCAACATGGACCTTTAAACCCACTGCTTTGTAGAGGAAAGCAGTCTTTCATAGTCTTTCACAGGGCTACACAGGGTGCCATTGTCAGTATTTTGCTGGGGTGTTGCTCACGTGCTTGGCAGGCTGCCCCTCCTGAAACCTGCTCACTGCCCTTGAAGAACAAGTTTATTTTCCAGCGATGATGAATGCTACCATCACTTCGTTGGTTTTATATATCTCTGTCTCTAACGAATCAACAGAAATCCCTTGTCTTATCTTGTCTTTGTGTGTCTTGTGTCATTGTCATTCCTTTCACATTTCTCTGCCACTTCCTGCAAACACACACCACCTACTACTACAAGTATTGCCTCCCCAAATCCACCTGCTGCACCTACTGCACCTACTGGCTGCAACGCGGCCTTGGTGTAGAGCGAGGCGGACACCGGCGTGTTCTGTGTGGAGAGCATCCGCATGAAGTCCTCGAAGCTCACCAGGCCGTCGCCATCCTCGTCCATACCTCAGGAGATCCATCGACGATCCGGTCTGGCTGACCTCAAAGACTGGACGGTGGAATTCTTCGACTTGAAAGAGGTCTAGCCGTCGGAGAGCAGCCCAGTAGCCGCCGCATGGACGTGGAAAACACATATACTTAAAGAAATAACATCTAAAAAGCACGACTTAAGGATGAACAAGTGAACCACATCATCTAATAAACACGACTGGGTCGGACTCCAAGGGTTGGTTGCCACGGCGGGTGGCTTCACGAGGTGAAAGACCTTCTCAACAAGGGGTTCATCGGTTTGTTGGGTTAAGGCGAGCCTTTTACGATTCTTTGGCAGAATATTTGCACACCTGCCCTTTGGTGTTGTGCGATCTCCACGCTCTCCATGCAATGGCGAGCTTCCACCCTCGCAGTGACGGGTCCTATATCATTACATCACCACAATTGGTTGTCAAGGTCATGCGAAGGCCCAATTTGAGCTTTAACTTGGCAGCGATATGTCACTGCACCTCCAACCAGATCCTCAGGTACGGGGAAACAAATACGGTCAGCCTCCGAGGATGTGGAGTGTTTTTTTTGCGAATCCCACGAACTGAAGAAGTGCCTTCCTCACATGTGAGTGAACTGAGTACCTGGACCCTCCAAGGGGTGCCCTGTCTGGAAGCCTATAGGTAGTGTGGGGAAGTCCATTGGACACCCCTTGGAGCGGCCTGGTATAGGCAGGTCTGCCCAGAAATCACCAGGTGGGTCCGAACAAACCTGCTTCCCTGGTTCCACGGTGACTCGATCAAACCCAGTGGCGGGCAAAGTATTGCCAAGCACCTTGGCATGGTCTACTGATGAATCGACGTTTGTTTCTTCACGTCTCAAATGACTGGGCTGTTGCTGACTTCCTTGACCGGAGGGTCCAAGTACGTTTGGAAAGAAGGTGGCAGGTTGGAAAAGGTGGCAGGTTGAAGGACTCAACAACAACGTTGAAAGTGAACACTTCCGTGCAAGCACAGTGAGACCGGTAGGATCTGAAAGATCTGTAAACCGGATCCTGACCTCTGAGAGGTTTTGCTCGACCTTCCAACCAGTGGCCATTGGGGAACAGGGTATGCATTGTTGATGCGGTTTGTGTGCATGCCTTTAAAGACCTTCTTGAAAACAGTCAAGGTATGCAACTTGGGTCAGGATTTGGAGAAACTATCGTTTGAAGATGGACATGGAGCACGCCGTCCCACCCAAACCTGTTGACAGTCAACTCAGTGGCTATTGGGACCTTCACAGCCCTTGGCGCCAGCACCAACTCTTTGTGGCTGATATCATTCATCGGCACCCTGGATCTGCCTCATGTAGACTTTCGATAATATGTCAACCCCCCCAGATGAAGACATGAACATGTCAATCCCAACTGGTGTGTGTGTGTGTGTGATTCAGACTCGGAGTCTGAGTCTTCATGTCTATGCCAACCATGGTACACTATCCAAATGTCCGCCTAGGCGCTGCGGCAGTTCGGCACCTCCATCTGTAGATCTGGATCCTGACCGGTCAGAGCACTGATAAACGCGAGGATGCGAGGACACGAACACGAACCGGACGCGTTGCCTGGCTTGGATGCGAGTGTGCTAAGCACTTTGACTATAGGTCAAACGGCTTCAAGCCGGCAGATGTCTGTTCCTGAGTGGAAGAGGTGGTTAAAAACAAGCCACTGCACCTCCAGGAAGGTCTTTGCACACAGGAAGTCTGGTTTTTCAGAACCGAAAGAGGACCTGAGGAGCACAACCTGACGGCGGACGTGGCACAACTTGCCAACACTCCACATTTGCCCAGATCCCTTGAGGATGACACCAATCTCAAACTTTCAGGGGCAGCCAGGGGCCACCGCTTCCAGGCTAGGACATGTTTCCATGCTCCGTTGTCCCTCGGGGCCTCCGGACAGAAAACAAGCAGGAATCCCGGGTACTTCTTCTCTTTTCATCTCTTTTCCGTCAATTCCAATCCAATATCCAAAGAAACACACTTCACACTCGAATGCCTCAAGGTTGCGAGCCCAAACGCTTTTCTTGGAAGCACATTTAGTAAACGCTGCTGCACTGCACCGGTACTCGACCGAACCGTCACTCGTGGGTCCCAACCCCATCCCACTCCATGAGACGGCCATAGGACTGCCGATCAGGCCAGGGGTGGTTTTGGGGGGGGCAATGTATGGCACTCATGTAGGCATGGAAGTCCCATATTTTGTGTCTGCGCATCCTTTTCCCCAAACTCGACCTGCAGGACGTGCAGAAGATCGGGATACGTGATCCGATCGTCATCATCACCTGAGGTCAGACCGGAGCTTCCGCCGAAGCTCCCCATCGAAAGGATGCGAGGAAGGTTCGGTTCGAAGGATGCGCGATGGGCGAACGTTACTCCTCCACTCATGTGCCGTGCGGGAAACCGTCGTTTCGGTGGGTCGGGAAACCGTCGATTAGGACCGGACAGATGGACGGAGCCCTTCGAATGTATGAGGAACCGACCACGGGAGATGATAGCCTTTTACGGAAAGAAAAGGAACGAAGGAAAAGCAAAGGATAGCAAAGGAATGGAATGAACACATTAGAACACCACTTCAAGGGGGGCCCAAACGCTTCTTGGGATGCATGTCAGTCACCGTCAGTCTTGGTTTGATGTTGCACATGACCTGTTCGTTGATCGGGCCCATGGGGCCATCGGGCCATGTTTCACCTGGTGTTCATATAAGTCGTCAATAATATATAATATGCATTACTACAGACGTATAGTATACTATAGTAAGAATGCTCCTTCCTGGTAGTACGGCCAGGAGCCCCGTTCGAAGCGTCCTTGCTCCGTTCGTAGCGATGCCAGGAGCCCCTACAAGGAGTAGCGTCCTTGCTCCTGTGTAGCAAAAGCAAATCCCACGAAAATCTTGCACAAACACTGTGTGTCGACACTTTCCGAGTCAGAAGAAGAACACATGATGGCCCCAGCTGGTTGGTATTCGGTATTCGGATTTCATGGTTCTTTTGAGGGGCCCTACCTTCCACGTTGGCCCATGATTACAGGAAGTGTCAGGCACTGTGCCAGGCACCAAGGGAAAACTTGGACAACTGGATTCTTTGAGGATTTGTTTTTCTCGGGCTTGAAATATCAAGGTTGTGCGGGTTGTGCACTCATTTGGTATCATTTGGTTTGCTCTGAGAGGATGAAACAAACATCTATTAGCAGGCAGCAGGCATGTTCATCCGTGAAGCTAGATTCTGTTTACAGGTCTTGGATGGTCTTGGGACCAGAAGGCATGGAGGCTGAAAAGTCGGAAAGCTGAAACTTCCCAAACACTCTAAATGATGAGCCCAGAGCTCGAGTGTCTTCGACTGGAAGAAAAACCTCCACTTGGGTGATGCCATGGCATAGCCTAAAATATAGGCCGGTAGCCAGTTGGCAAATGTTGGCTAATTCGATTCCAGGGTGTTGATCAACAATATGTGTGACATGTCCATGGCAAACTGTATAGCCACTCAACCGGTCCCACTCTGCTGGCACATGGTGGTTCTTGTTTTTTCACGAAAGAACACAAAAACTACCCTAACATCATCTTAAGACATCAAGCAAAAAACACAAAATAATCCAAACAAGTCACGGTCAAAAGCCTTGAAAGCGCGCCAGCACAATGCTTCGTTCTGGTGAAGGCGTTGATCCATGGCTGCCGCAATGAACTCGGTGTACTCCAAGCGCCCGTCCTGGCGAGCTGACACGACACATGGGACTGCCATATATGCCGATCAATTGACCCCCAGTCAACCACCCCAACTGATTGGCACATATGGCAGTCCCATGGAGTGTCTGGGTTTGGCAAACACGAAACATCCCGTTGATGCGTTTTTAATTGCGCACAATGTTCTTCAGTTCTTGTTCCAGGAGCTTCTGAACATCTAGTACTCATCAAGAGGATACGCTTCTGGACAAGGGGGCATCAGACCTGGCGTGTTTTGGCGTTCCTTCTCAAACACACAAACACATCCAAGGCCACCTTGACCATCCCACGTTGCTTGGAACTAACCTGGCCTTTTGGTTCACATGTCCGGGGTTGATGCCGTCCGTCAGTCAACTTCGCTCTCAATCCCTGAGAGCTGCCCTCCGCCTCATCGCGGAATGAAAAGTGGTCTCCTTGACCCAACTCAGCCAATTCACCCAACCCAGTCATTCAAACACCAACACCTGCACTTGGGACAAGGGTCCCTTCGCTCCCGTCCGGGTGTCCCAAACGGGTCGTGTGGAGTGGGACCTCCAGTCATCTGATTTTCTCGTTTTTGGTGTTTGGTGGAAGGGGATTTGGATGGATGGATGGATCTGGAACCTCCAGTCACTGAAGATGTAGGGCTGGAACCCCAAGTGGATTGGTTGGGAGATGCTGACACCGGCCCGGGCCACATAGGCCGAAAGCGACCTCTGAAAGCGAATTTCAACCACTCGGTTGAAGCTCTGAGTGGCACCCCCACCCACCCACATCGACCTATTTCCAAGAGAAGTGAAGTGACCTAAGGGAGGAGCCTGGCAATGAGATAGTCTATACCAGGACCCTAGGGCCGGGGTGTCTATTTATAGCCCTCTCTCTTAAGGAGTGTCCGTGAACCACCCCGTCCTGGGGGGTCCTGGTAGGGTTCTGCCAACCTCTTTTGACCCACTTCGACCCGTGGCACCCGGCGTCTCGGTGTCGAAGTCTCCACTCTCCTGCCTGGTGCCACTCAGGACTCGAGGCCATGAACCGCCGACGCAAAGGATCCCTGTCAGGAAATAGACCTATCATGACCTATCTTCACCACCGGCAGGGTCACCGGCAGGCTAGACTTGCTTTATACCAGATCTATGCATCGGGCGTGCGTTTGGGGGAGCTTCATCCACCCGCACCGGATCGCCGCAGCTCGAGCTTGCCTGGTTCCGGTCCAGATCGTCCATGAGCTGCGCCAGGTTTCTTGGGTGGGGCGAAGTGGGCCGCTTTCAAGACAAGGACCGGCAAGCCGCGAACCCGCGGAACCCGAAAAAGGGACGAAAAGAAAGGCTGGAGCTGGTTTTGGATGTTTGTTTTATAGTCTAAATATCCAAAATCCGACTTAAAACAATGATATCATGCGGCGTGGTTGGAATTTCCATGGAGTATGCAGGTCAACTCAGGTGGGCGGATGGTCTGTAGGACAGGGAGCTGGCTACTTCTGGCCTGCGAATCAGTCTATCACTGGGTAAATCACTGACACTTGCTTTATAACAGATTCTGAGATCTACATTGCATCAAATGACGGATTCTGGGATCGTGCAGGCCACGCATCTGCTGGCCATTCGCGAAGGTCCAGCAACATGAAAGGCACGTTCCAGGCTCGCACCCGGTGCGAGCACGAGCCTGGAACGCTGCCATGAAGACCTTCATAGGTCGTTCATATATGTCCAACTGTCATTTTTGGGTGGTTCCAGGCAGATGACCCTCCTCAAGACCAAAACACTGTCATGCACTCTATTTTTCGGCCTAGCTGGCAAAGACCTCTCTTGGTGAACTGGGTCAAACAGTCAGTTCACTGCGGCGTATGCCTAGAACCTCAATTGATCTCTGTATAAAAGAGCATGAACCACCCTAAGCAACTGGCCAAGCATCCTATCAAAACAAAGGTCGTGTCTGGGTTCGAAAGGTGGCCGTCAGGCCGTCCAAATGGACCCGATCCGCAGAAATCCGCCATCGATTCCCCCTCGGGTCATCCAGCGTCACCCATTCTAGACCCTAGTTTGGGTATCTATCCCATTACTAGTTATATACTAGTAACAGCTAGTGGATGATGTTGGTGGGTAAAAGCCTTTCTCAAAAATAGTGATCTGTTACAAGTAACAGGACATAGTAGTTGAGGGTCTACACCTCCCACAACTTCCAACTTCACCGCGGCACAAGCCCCGCATCTGTGGTAGATCGCTGAGGCCACGGTGAAGGTCCTGCAAGGTCATAAATCCATCGCCGTCCTGGGCTGGGCGTGTGGCGCTGGTCCTGTCGGTAGCCTTGAGATGTCCAAGAAGGTGGTAGTCAACGAGCCCCAGCCAACAACACCTCCGCCCCTTGTGTCAAGGGCTCTGTTGACGTGCGAGGCCTCCCACACGCAAAAACGGTTCGTTGGCGCGCGCACGCGTTGGCCCGCTCTCTTGCTCCCTCTCTCGCCGGGGCACGGTGTCCAATTTCTCAAAGGTTCGGCGGAGCTCCTTCTGCTCCTCCTGTGCCGGTCACTGGGCACGAAGGTTGCGCCACTGGGTCTGCAGGGGTCATAAAAGCCATCTGCAGGGCAGGGGTCATCTGTATAGTCTAAAGGCCGCGTTTTAGGCCTCTGAAAAGGTCTGAGAAACATCAGGGATGGGACGGCCGACTCTGGTATGTCTTCAGAGATGCTGGCGCAAAGAGTTGGTATTAACTGCGATTTGTCCAGATATTCAAACAAACTCCGTGGTGAAACATGGGATATCCCATGTTGGGCGTGGCGGCCAGGTGTTGGTTCGTTATTGATCGAACCAAAACGAAGCAATTGTCCAAATTGTCCAGTTGGTGGCTGCACAAGTTAACCACACACATGCAACATATCAATACATATCAAACTATGTGACTGGTTTGTTCTTGGCTTTGTAATGGCTATTGGAGAGATCTTGATGGTGTGTATACCCGACGCAAAAGATGCATTACTAAGCATATATAAATGCGTATGAGCAAGATCGAGAGCTTCAACAGCCCCCCCGTTGGTCGTTTTTTTCCTATTTCAATACGCACTCAAACTCACCCCAAAAACATGACTATAGACTATAATATACTATAATCATAGTCCGACTTCCAGATCTAGCATGATCCAACACCGCCACTCAAAACCACAAACATGTCTTCTTCCTATGGATCCCCCCGATTCGGGTCATCGTTTTCTACTTTCTACCAGGTCAGGCACCTCGGTGAGGTGGTATGCGGCGGCGGTCATGGCGGCTTTCTTGAAGCGGTTTTGGACCTTGGTGACGTCGATGGTGATCGGTGATTTCGACCTGCAATGGTTGTTTTCAAACGGTGAACATGAATTCCGTACCAGTTGACTCAGTGCAAAACGTGCAAAAGCCCACTGGACGAGGATGGTGTGTCCCTCGTCATTCCGGCTACCCCACGTGATCTGCTCCAGATCGAGCTTCTTCAAACCATCGAGCCAATCTCTCCCTGTACTACTTTCCCCGGCAGTCAGCAGTGCCCACAGAAGCTCTGTCTGAGTCTGATCCATGCGCCACCCCAGCGGAGGCCCCCCCTTTGGGTGCCAGCTTCGACTTGTATCTCTGGATACATTGACAACTTCCTGTCAACATCACAGAATTATAGCACATCCAAATAAAGAGAAGAAACATGTATATATATAGCACAATTCATGAAAGCTGAGCAAATCCCCTCGTACTTCCATGGATGTTTCGGCAATAGACTCACATTTTCCCACAGCTCTTTGGACTGCTTTCTTAGCTCCATATATATATATATATTTATAGACTACGTTGCCTGCTCGATGAAGCCTATATCATACCGCCGTCGCGGAAAGAAGCAAACGAGTGAAAGGCGACCCAAAAACCGCAAAGCTCACACGACCAACGGGTGTGTACTATGGGCCAAATTTCTATTAAGGATATATATATATATACCTGGACCCTCCAAGGGGTGTTTAATGGACCCACACTACCTATAGGCTTCCATTGGGCACCCCTTGGAGGGTCCTGGTACTGGTCCATAGTAACTATGTTTTGTTGGTAAAGTCATGTAAAGTCTGGGGATCTTCTCGGTTTGGGAACGAGGACGCCGATGCCGATGGAGGGAGAAAGGCGGTGGGGAAAGGTCCCCTTTTCGATTCATCCGATGGGTCAAACCGTGCCCGATGGGTGTTTTGGTTCGGATCCGAGCGATGGAAGTCAAACCAGCCGGAACATGATCCAAGAAGATCCAACCATTGAACCATCTATACCAGCACCGAGTTCGGGTGGGTTTATAGACACCCCTCGCTAGCTACAGTATTTGTCACTTCAATAATCAACCGCTATCCGTGGTGCTGGTACAAACCTATGTAATGCTGCACGGTTCATCTGCCGCGAATGCGCTCGATCTTTCAACTCCGTACGACTTCGCTCACTTCGCCGCGACGGTACTTCACTCGTCGGTCTGTACTGCAACTCCTGTCGCAAAGAGTACATCGTTTGGGTTTGCTCATTGGTGGTGTTTTGCGCTTCATGCTCTCCGAAGAGCTGCCTATGTGGCAGAACAAACAAACTACTTGACAAAGAAGGGAGAAAAGCCGAGATCGGCTGCCAAAAGTTAAGTCCTTGATCGCCCAAACAGTTCATGGGTCCATGTATGGAATCTATGCCACTTGACCCATTGACTCGATCCTGAAATCAACCACCTCTAGCCCAAATAACCAGTCGTATCTGTCTTTTTCTCTGGACTCGCCAGCGACTGGTTGGTGGGTTCAACCACCCCAAGTATAAGGTTGAAATATGACATATCCAAAACCACCACCCAGAAAATGAAGACTAGGGAAAATCCAGGCCTTTTCTGTGGCCCATGGTGGCCAGTGAGTTACCCGTCCGAAAGTCTCCGGACGCAAAAAAGAGCCAAGGACTGGGTTTTGTTTGGGGTTTCCAACCTCCATGTTAGACCATCCACCACCCCAAACATAATGGCCTTTTTGTATAAACACTATGGTCAAATGGGTTCTACAGTATATAGATGGTTCTAGGTAGTTGCATGAAAGGGAACTGACCCATTATAGGGAAGACAATGGAAAACAAACATATATTAACAATCACAAACATCACACAAAAATCATGCTGAACCCGAACAGCAACATGAAAAACACAAGAACAAAAACAGCTTGTCTCAAAGCTATTCTGAAGATCTCTGAACCCACCCCTCCGTGGCACGAACCGCTCGCTCCCCGCTCCTGGAGTCCGCCTCGCTCGCGCATCAGAACCGCCGGCGTTTCCGTGGAAAGGCTGGAGGTGCCAGCGTCTCCGTGCCGCCGGCGAAGAGCTTCTGGACGGCAGCTGGGAGCTGTCCATCTTTCAATTGATCCTGCCCATCGAACCCGCGGAGCGAACAAGAACTTCGTGGGCACTCAATATACCTATATATATATACCATTATATACCTATAGCATCCTATAGCCTCTCCATGCGTGTTCTTCGTTGTTTTACATGTCTTATTAAACCCCAAGAATCCGGGCCCGAACCAACGCATAGGGGTTGCTTTGGGTTCGGACTTCTTAGGGTGTGGTCCACCGCTGTATCACGGCGGAGTTCGCAGGGAATTCGCAGGTCCTTCGGATGCGACGTAGGTCCTCCGGTGGTCCGGCGGTCCTCCGGTGGATTGGTTGAGTCGGTGGAACATCAACAGTCCCCAAGGCAGCTGAAACTGGGACCCTCCGGGGCCTCCTCCTCACACCTCCTCTCGGGTGGTTCACGTGGTGTTGTTGGTTCAAGTTCCGCTCTCCTTCACAGCATCAGATGCCGCCCCAAAACTCTGGATGGCTGTCTTCAGGTCGTCCAAGTTCTGGCGGCGTGGCAGGGACGAACCGACACAGGCTCGAACTGAGTCGAGCTCGGTCACCTGGCTGGACAACCCTACCCTACCGGCCTAGGTCTGACAGGGCACCCAATGGATAGCTGCGCTAGGAAGCCAAACTCCCGGGTCGCAGTCCCAGACCCTTGGCCGATCAGTTGGGGTAGGTACTACACCCGACCCGAGGCATAGGCATCTATAGCTGCGGGCCCTCACCCTTTCCATCGGACGAATACATGGAGTGTCTGGGTGGTAGGCAAAACAACCATCCTGACGAGATATGTTCGTGTTCCAACAGTTTCACAGCTTGGTGCTTTCAACAAATGTCAACAATCCCAACTAGTAAAGATGTCGAGAAAAAAACGGTGGACCACATCTTCTCTTAGTCCACACGGTCCCCTTGAATCTAAGATCCGAATGAGCACTTCTCTTTCCCATGGGATCCAGTCGTACCGAACCTGGATCCAGCTGCTTCTGGAGTCAAGGTCCAGTGCGGCACTGGAGTCGTGTTCAGGTCACGCGTGGATCACATGGATGAATATTGGGTCACCCCCCTTGGTTTTGATAGAAAAAAAATGTAAAACAAATACTTTTGCTGGTGTTGATATGTTTTGATGGTACAAAATAGAGGTGACTCAATGTGACTCAGGTTCTATGCATTGAAGTTGTTAACATGAACACTCTGCATAACATCCCTGTTCTAGCTGCCAAAAAAATCTGAGCAACGCTGGGTGCGGAAGGATCTTCTTCTCCAAATGCCCCCGCCTTCAAAACGGCTTGCTCGGCAATCTCCGAAAAGCTCTCATCTGTGATCATCCCTGCGTTTCAACCAGCACGTCAGTCGTTATCCAGCGTGCATGCTTTTCAATAGTCCTTTCAGTACTCTTGATGATAAAGCCGACTATGTGTGAAAAGGTTTTACAATCCATCTGCGGGGGTAAAGCAAACCAAGTGGAGTTTGTACGAACCATTGTCCATCAAAAAGCAGAACTCAATACCAAGGACTTTGCTTGTATGCGCCCCAATATTTTCAACAATGCTGATGAGAGTGAATCATGAATGTGGAATATTCGAAGGCATTCCCATGACTCATGCTGAAATGAAGACGCCTTGGGCTCGTGTAGAAAAGTTCGCATATGCCGATAATTGGAGCTTCATGTCTACGTCAGAAAGAGCTTGTTTTCATGCCATGACCTCGATCCTTAACCTTATCCACGATTTAAAAATGCAAATCGACTTTTCTAAATCTTGGTGCTGGGCTACCACTAAGCAGTTCAAGCAATTTTGGCACGACTCCTCCGCCCTTCTCCTGAGGCCCGGTTTTGTCTTTCAACTTAAGAGCCACGTGCACGATTTGGGTTGCACTATTTCTTATACCAACGCAGTCGTACTTGGCCCTCTCCGGGACAAGATGGACAACGCAGTCGCTAAATGCAACAGATTAAGAAAGCTTAACCTCGCACTTGATGAAAGGGGAGAAAAAATTCAGGTAGCGGTGTGGCCGGCAGTATTCTATGGGGCACTCGGTACCTACATTGGAGCCAAGCATTTTGCTACACTACGCCGTGCTGCGGCCAATGTCCTCGTGGGGGAACACAAGCATGCCTCCAGCCATGTGGCCTTGCACTATCTCACAGACCGAGTTCAGGACCCCCTCCTTTACCTTATCACTGATATGTTGACAACTCTCCGCCGAATGTTTATTTACTATCCTGTCCTGGCTAATCAGTGTTTAACCTCTGTCCGAGCATACGAAGGAAAGGTTAAAGGGCCAGCAAGTGCCCTCGCTGCCTACCTCCGTCAACTCAAATGGGAACTCACTGCAAATGCAACCCTCTTGGGCCCAGGTGGTTTGCGCCTGCACCTTCCGGGTTCGTCTAATAAACAGATTCGCTCACAACTTCGCATAGCCTGGGATTGGCAATGCCACCAGGAAATTCTTCACAGAAAAGGGGTCCCTCCGGAACCCTTCGACTCACTGCATACCATCCGCATCCTCAAGACATACACCGACCGACAACGTAGAATTCTCTCTTTGAGCCTCACGTCCGGGTGGCAATCGTTGGGGGGGCATAGCCAATTGGTCGGCTACCCAGGAGCCCCAGTGCCCTTGGTGCTCTCAATATGACACACACTGCCATCAGCTTCTGGAATGTGAGGCTTTCAGCGATCTTCGAACCCAGCATCATGAAGCTGTGTCATACATGAGGGACCAGCGTCGACTCTGTTGGTTTCCCCTTCCATGTCACCACCCAGAGGTTGCTCTGGCTCGTCAAGCAATGTGGTTGAGGCATACCACCGGGTCATACACTGACCCTGGACCCATTTCTCAGGATGCCACCATTTATACCGACGGGTCTTGTGACAACACTCGGGACCCATATACGGCACGGGCGGCATGGTCGGTTATTTTTAGTCACGCGTGCCCTGCCGACCCGGAGCATCGTTTTTTTCCGGGTTCTTGCCAGTGGTCACTGCCCTGGTCACCAGACAATCAATAGGTCAGAACTGTACGCCCTGGTGGTAGCAGCAGAAAACATTCTGGCTCGGATGTCGGACAACCACAACCACTTCGTTTTTGTAACAGACTCTCAATTTGTCTTTGACATTGTACATGCCATCAACTGCGATAGTATCCACCGCCACCCACACAAGCATGCACATTGGGATTTGATCGAAAGATTATCTCAAATTTGGCATAGTGCAAAGTTTCAGATCAGAAAAATCAAGTCCCATCAATCTCTTGAACAGGCCCAAACCCAGGCAGATATGTGGCACATCCAGGGCAACTCATACGCAGATGAAGTAGCAGGTAAGGTCAGATGTACAGATGACCCTGACTTTTCCACACTTTGCAACACAATTCGTACACATTACACGAAAGAAACGGCAATTTTAAACAAGGTGCATGACTACCTCATAGATTTATCACTTGCACGTATGCTCAAACTTGAACAAAAACAAGCAGGCGACAGCCACCAGGGGGCGCCAGTCGGCCTTGATTCACGTCCGGCACTGCTTGCATTTCATCACCAGCTTAATCGACTCCGGAATTGGAAAGTTGTCGGTCGCTTGTTTGAGCATCCCCCAGAACCCCATAGGGTCGTCTTTTGGTGTAGCCCCTGGGGCGCCAGCCTCACATACTTGATATGGAAATTTTGTCGAAGTCTTGATTGGCCGCACCCGGAAGAAGCCCCTGCACCTGGGGATCAAGGTATTTCCTGGACAGAGTTGGCTTTCTCATTCATGTTGTGGTCCAACACAGTACTCCCAGTTCGCCTTCAAGATTCTCGTGACACACTGATCCTGCCATTTGACGACGCTAGAGTTACGTTGTTACCCGTGAAGCAGCGCTCTGTTAGAGTGTTGGCGGATAACTTCCGATGGATCATTAAACATATTCAGACATTTTCCAGATCGCATTTGATTCCACAGTATAAGAAACAGGGGGCGTCTAGTTTGACCAAGCTAGGATTCTCCCCCTACCACGAGGGAGGTTTCTCCAGACGCCCGAATTTGCCAAATGTCAAGGCAACCTATGATTTTGTCTTATCATGGTTGCAAACAATTTCGCATAACCCGCCATATCATAATGAAGTCTTGATGCCGCCTCTGCCGGCTCCTTCGGACCCACCTGCGTGGCCAAATTTACCGGAACTGGCACAGTCCCAAAGGGGCCCGTTCCTGATTAAGATCCGTAACGCTTTGGCCCGAAAAAAGGACTTCGATGAAATTCAGCATCCGAACGATAATTAGATGCACTTGAGAGCCAAGGTCCTTCCTCTGTCTCTCTAATTTGTCTTGCCATCATGTGTGTTTGGCCACAGATGTCTGGGCACGTGTGCACAATTGTCCTGGTCTTGACTAACTTCACCACAAGCTGGTCCACATACAGGACAAAATTCGGGTCACGAACCTTGAGCCGATCTCCCTTTGCCACATTGGATACGTAGGTCGTAAACTCTTTGGTTACGCCCGGCTGCTTTTACCTTGAACCGGTGGACCACCAGCGTGCCTCTCGTTGCCCATTCCCATGCACTTCGTAGGTTTGTGTACAGATGTGTCTTTTTAGTACCTTTTCCATATGGCCACGTGGCGTGTCACACCATGTTCAGCCCCACTATTACCCCTCGGAACACCCGAGAAGGGGACAGTTGGGGGCGATCGTCGCGGACGGTTCGCAAGTGCGTGCATCCATCTGCGGGGGGGGAGTTTAAATATATCCTCAAGAGTCTACATTAAGAGTTGCGTGTCGCAAGAATTTGGGGTTTATCCATTGGCACGAAATGCTCCCCTCGACTCCCACCGGCACAGATCAAAGCAAACTGGCCACATTAGTTATATATATACCCCAGCCATGAAACTCTTTGTCTTGTCCTGATGGTTTCCAAGACTCTTTCTTCAGGACATGCTAGAGTCAAGGCTTCCACGATTTCTGCTTGGATCTATAATGATCTATATTAATATAATTTAATATACACGTCATTATACGGCCATGACAGCTCATTGGCTCTAGACTCTAACATCACACCCTTTCTTGCGCGCCTTGAAGCAAACGAGCTAGGACGCTGACCACCACATCCACCTGCCAGCGGTGTGCCACATCCATCGCCTGCAAAGCGGTCTTGTAGTCGGGCTCGTTCTGCGTGGAGCAGGTGTATAAAATCCTTAGATCCAAGGGTTCTCCATGGAAATTTGCTCTCTCACCCTCTCACTTTCGTCCCCCTCACTCTCATCTATCTTCATTGAACTTCTTGAAACCCCATGTTACACCACAATCAATCTCCACAACGCAAAGCAACAGGGGCAGCTGACATGTGGTCTTCCAAAAGCGGTCCAAACCCTAACCCAGCGCCAGTTCGCCCCACGCAGTCCGGGCATCTCCAGAACGAGTGAGACCGCACCCTTTGGCACGTCCTTCACCTGGCGGGTCAGTGTACGGCCGAGGGAGGTCCACGACGGGGCAGGAGAGGCATGGGATGCCGTCCGGCGTCCGGACGGTCATGTGTACTATTAAAAAGAACAAACGGTCACGTGGTGTTGCTGTTTCAGGTGTTGACCCACCCCACCTGAATTCGTTGACATTGTCCCTCCTGCATGGGTGACTCCAACATCGCAGCAACCACGGCAGAAGCTCCTTTGAGCATCTGAGCATGAGCAGTCACAAGGCCGTCAGCAGTGTCAATGGTCAAGTCATGTGTGGCGCTCGCAGCCAAATACTTTTCCCAAAGCTCGATGATAGCATCATGAACTGGCACTCTTGCGTCATGACCTTTCTTAAGCCCACCTCCTGCAAAGCGGTTCAGGACTTTGCCCAGTCGTTGGACCTTCTGATCAAACGCCGCCTCAGCGTTGCCCAACTCTTGTGCCCAAGCTTGAACGTAGGCAATGGCTGAGAGACCGGCGGGCTCCACACTGACCTCGCATTCTTCACCTTCTTCCTCATCATCTGGACGACTAAAGTTGAAAGTTGATTCTGCCTCATCTGTACAGGTCTGCGAGATGCTTGCTCCAGAGCGGATAAACTTCTCAATGATCTCGAGCATCTCTTCTTCACATGATTCGTTTCGGAGCAAAATGATCACAGACTGGACCAAAATGGTAAGACCGTTGTCATTCCGGCTGCTCCAATCGATCTGTTCGAGGTCAAGCTTCTTCAAACCGTCGGTCCATTCATTGCTGAGGGACGAGATTTCGCCTGTTGTTAGAAGCGCCCACAGAAGTTCTGTTTGATCCATGCCCGCCGAACGCGGATTGGGCACCGATTTTCGAGCGTCTTATGGCAAGAAGGTCATGGAGTCTGTAATGTACCGGATTCAGCAACAATTTCTCCTTATATAAGAAAAACATGTAGACCCCCTGTTTGGGGTATGGATAAATAGCGCCAAAAAGAGATGAAGGGGTTCCTTGCTGGGTCCTGATCCTGTCTGGATGTTTCTGTTTTTGGAAATTGCTCAACCTTGTCACGACGATTCTGCGCAACTCGATTTACTCGGCGCTGTCGTTGTCGGGCCGGGCGCACATTTTCCATCCAACCAAATCCCTTGTTCCCGGACTCTGATGGCACATGATGGAACCCTACCAGGGGCCTCCGGGCCAGGGGGTGTCCAATTTGGCTCCTTAGATGTTTTTCGGGATGTCCATGGCCCCCACCCCTGGCAGCGGGGGGCCCTGGTAGGGGTAAGTAGAATCCAACCCTATCCCAGACACAACTTGTCTGGGACTGCCATATATGCCAATCAGGCCAGGGGTGGTGCCAGAGGGGTCACTTGATCGGCAGTCCTTGCCTGGCAGTCCCATGTGTCATGTGGTGCCCCCGCCACCCCCCCTGAGCGCTCGCTTGAGGGTCCACTCGTAACCATCGAAGGCATGTGGATGCCTGCTTAAGGGGCCCGGCGTGGACCACACACCTCGGCATTTGCCTTAATTGCCTTTGGACCACTTGCAATACCTGCGATGTTCTTTGGACCACATGCTTTACTTAGTTGGGAAACAGACTTGTGCACATAACAGCACTATATGATATAATCATCTATGATATATAATCATATACTAATCATATATCATCCACATAAGCATGATCCCATGCACGTCTGATTCTTGGCCGCAGGGTTTATAGGCAGCCTTATTAGTAAACGGAGAGTTTGGGTGCTTCATGTTGACTTTTCCACAGCCGTCTTCCAAGAACAAACCCCAACCGCCGTCTTCCACCGACCGGGGCCCGGAAGAAGCGGGGATCGCAAGGGGCGGATCTGCTTCCTGTGTTTGCAAGAAAGCACAGAATCTGTCAAAAGCGATGATTAATTGTCTGGGACAGTTGCATCTCAAGGATTGTATCATATGTCAACAAGTCTTCCTTTTTAAAATCTTTGAAGGAAACGGACTGACGGCCTTCAAAAGGTGCGTTGAAACTGAACTTCTGATGCAGGAACTTCATGGAATTTTCGAGCGGAGTCGTCTTCGTCGGCGGAGGAAGGACGTGACGTGACGTGCATTGGCTTTCCCAGCGACGCAGAAGGACTTCAGGTTGCTCAGCAAGTCTCGATGCAAGTCACGGGGTGTCTCCTCGAGAGCGGCGAGAGCGGGGTCTGTCGGATTGGCCGGTTTTTCGGCGGATTTCGGTGTCGAAGCCGGTTTGGAGCGACCTGGCTGTTGTTCGTCGAAAGATCCGCAAAGTAAAACAGACCTGTTGTTTGGTATATCCCAGACACTCCATGTATGCCAAATATGCCTACATTGGGGTGGTTTTGGGGGTCAATGTAGGCTATATATGGCATACACGGAGTGTCTGGGTATATAGAGGATTGGTATTTATGTTGGTCTTCAATGGTCTTTATACATGTATGGTAACACCAGACCATGAAAGCATTAAAAAAAAACAGGTGAAAGATGCTGAAGGTTCCTGAAATCTGAAGTGGACACGTAACACCAGTCAAAACCAGGTCCCTTCGCCGAAAAAACGGATCCCTTCGCCAGGGTGGTCTCGTTTTCCCAGTTGCTTTTTTCTCTGTGACACAACATGTTCAAATATATAATCGTGGCGCCATGCAAATGCTTTGCAAAGCATCAAGAAATTGAGGTGTTCGACTGTGCATCCGGCTAAAACCAGAACTCTTGGACACTTCAAGCTGTTTGAATGGTGCCTGCCATCCAACTGCATTGAAACCAAGGCTCAACGCCCTTCTCCCCGAAGCGACAGGCAAACCACTCGTGATTCAGCGCGCCCACAGCGGAAATCCGCTGCTGAACGTCCTCAGTGACGGTGAGTGGTCAAGTGGCCAGTGATTGGTTGACTGAGAACAAATGAACCTTTGGACATCTCTGCATGACATGCACACATTCATTATCATATTTGGACGGTATTACCATGTATTAACCAGGATCCAGAAGAATGTGACCATCTGTCACAGAAAGAAACATGACTTGACCCGCGATTGACTAAATCGATTCGATTTCAACCATGAGCGTCGACCAGTTCTGGATCTTCAAATTGGTCGACCCATTCTTTCTTACCGCTAGGTCACGGCACCCTTTCACCATCCGGAGCCCCTTTCACCACCAGGGTAGGTGGACTTGCCAGGGTAGTCGACCTTCTGTTTAGGGTCCCCTGTCACCCACCAGGGTAGTTGACCACCAGGGTCCGGTCTGTTCTCACCTGCTGCTGAGACGACCCTCTGGTCCGGTCTACGGGGGGCAACAGGAGACATGAGTCTTCGAGAGTTCATTCGCCCTTTAGGCAGAGGGGCCACACAGGCGGAGGGCCCCCCTTGGTCACACGTGGAACGATGTTGAAATGGCAAGCGGCGTCCTGGCGATCATGGACCATGCAAACAAGAACCAAACAAGATATCAACCAATTCTCGATCGAACCTGGAAAACCGAACTGCAAATGTGCATGTTGCGTCATGCACCCGAGATGGGGATGATCAAGGCATGATGAAACACAACACGCTGCTCCACGCATCACTGGCGGCATCACCGAGGATCTTTCTGCAAACACTTTGCGACCAAGTGCTTCGCCTGGCTGGACACCGGCATCCAATGCCTCAGGTGGTGTGTCGCTCGGGAGGACCCGAATCGGGTCGTTTCCAGCTTCCAGCTCCCAGCAGCGCCTGGTCAAGGCCCTGCTTAGGCCCCGACAGTATCTGCTTTTTACGGCTTTTCCTCGCCAACACCCAGCCATGGTCAATAGATATGGCCCCTATCTGCTTTTCACTGAAAGCCACCCAAACTGTGAGATGAAATCAGCCAAGCCAAGCCAACCCCAAACACGGTCATTTTTGAATGGCTCGTTCGAGATAGCATGGGATAAGTCTGTCTCATCAGCATGTGCCGTGGAAGAAACATGTTTCTGGTTCATTTGTTCAATAACATGACCTTTCCAGTGGACTGATGAAGAAAGTTCAGTTCGCAACGTGGAGTGTCACGCTCGTACTGTGTATAATGTGCTTTAAAAGCAACAAACAACAATCAAGCATACTATATAGGAAAAGAATGGACAAGAACACAGTTGTGGAACACATAGTTTCTCAAACACCATAAGGGTGACAGCGTGGTTGGTGATGTGTACAGTTTCTTTGAGCTGATGTATACAGTTTCCTTGTTGTCTGGAAGGGCACTGCAATGAAGCAATCAAATCACAAGCGTTGACATCTTGAAGTCCTGCCTTGATTGATCTCCAGGTTGTAGGGTGGTTCTACACCGGAAGGGACAGCATCCAACACGGAACTGAAGTAAGGTCGGCAATCAAATAGCAAACAGAAATGGTAAAATCGATGACCAGTTCTCTTCGCCAGTTCGCTCCCCAACGGACTGTTGCAGTGCCCCCGGTAACATGACGAAATGACACTGGCATGCCAATCCAGACCAAACCCGCTGAAGTGCTTGATTTCAGGGGTCAACCGTTCACGCAAACTCTTGTTCAATGAACCCAGCCATATGACGAGGTTTTACAGGTCTGTCAGTCGCAATGATCTCCTTGTGCGACTAGTTCTCAGGGTCAGTGCCAGAAGACAGGTCCCTGCTTGACTCCAAGATTCTCTCCCCCTCAGTTGGTCTCCCTGAATGGGTCCCAACTACTTGTCTCATCTTTCTCATCTGAAGATGCTTTTCCATGGTTTTGCATCTGAGTGGATGATCCAGACTCAGACAATCTCAGACATCCCTGTCTCTTCCTTTTCTCCAAGTCCGACTGACCCGCCAGGTGGCGCACCACGCATGGTATACCTCCCGCGCACCACTTTGGCCAGGATGTCACTTTCATTCCTGCAAGGTCCCATGAGCGGTCGCGATGGGCGATGGAAGGAGATGAGGGAGAGCCATGGATAGGCGATCAGGGGAAGACAAATTTCTTGTTTGGGTCACCGAACCAAACATCAGGGCGCGTTTTTTCGATGGATTTCTCATGATCTCTCGGCCGTGAAACAGGGAAGAGGATATCACAAATCACAAACAGCTCGTTTTTTTCTTCTCGTCCACGGAACCCGTCGGAGAGGAGTTCTCTGCGGACCATGACTGTCTGACGGAGGACGTACTCGAGGACTGCGCGGGGTGACGCACCAGCTACGTGTGTGTTTTATCTTTTTTGGGGGGGGATCCATGAATTTAGCCCCCAACAGTCCTGAACATCAAAGTTTCGACAAACTACCTCCCCCTGCCTTTTTTTTTGTGTCCGCTTCCTGCTCTGCAAGGCTTTGGTTTCATGATTTTGAAACGAAAAAGAATGGACTCCCAGCTTGTCACAGCACTCTATCCATTTCTCCATTTCGCTGACCTGATCCCCCTTCGACACCACCCCCTTCTTCTTCCCGATAGGTATCCCCCTTCTTCGACACCCAGACCTTCTTCCCAAGGGGCTTGCCGTGAAAAGGCGGTGATCCACAAAGTAAGCAATACATCAAGACTCCACAGCTCCAGACCTCGCTCGCTGGGTAAGGTAACCAGGCGACCAGACAGGCGGTCCCGGTACATCCAGGGGTGGTACCTCTAGTTGGGCCAGTGTCGGTGTAGTGTGTTTTTGGATGGGGGGGGAGGAGGTCCCTGAGCTCCAAAGATGAATCAGGAGTGGGTGGTTTCAACTCGGTTGACACATATTATTATTCATAGTCAATGGGATCAATCACAAGCAACAATTGAGCATTAAAACTATCTGAAACTACCACCCAGTGAACCCCTGAGTCTTCAGTTCACTACTTCCCCAAACTAGGCTGGTTGATATCTCCCAGCCGATACGATATACTGCTCATTGGTTGTCAATACCAATCCACAACACCGGGCTACCATGCGCATTATGAATCCTATTGAATCCTGCATGCGGAAAACCTTGGCTCCGCAAAATACACTGAGATCTACCTGTCTTTCAGTCGTCAATGTGATTCCAGCGTATATAGCCCGATGTCCTGTAACCCACACATCTTTAACCAAGGGGGGCGGGCCTATCGCTTTTGCAGGTTTTAGGCACACCTTGAACACAACTGGGCACATCATGCATGCGCGTGCACTGTATGGATTTGTGTAAGTAAATGCGCCAGGCCCTGCAATGGTAAGGGAACTAGGCACATTTTGGAACATGAGAGCTGATGGGCACTTAAATGGCATCGTGTCAAACCACGTTCCCCTACAAAACACAGCTTGGACACTAACAATTATATTCCCTACAAGTCCAGTCCGACCCAGTAAAACCGGCTCGTTTACCTCCCTGAGTAGTGTTTTTTGTATGACCAACTCCAGTAAAGTGAGGTCATTGACCCGTAACGATATATGTATATTTCTTTAACTTTAAGTTGTGTTATGGATTTATAGGGATTCAGTGTGTTAGGACATCAATCCTATAGGGATTAAGTTGTGCCCCCAACTTCCATTGTAGCACAACTTCTTTCAACCAGACTCTTAGAACCCCACCACCACGGTCAGCCGCCGGCGAACACCGCGCGCGACCAACGGTGCCGACAAGCGTGGCTTCGTCCGAACGTCGCGGTGCCGTGGCACGTCGCAGGCGTGGTTGTACTTCTCACCGAGCACTTCGGGTGCGACATACAGCACCGTGCCTGGCACCGGTATACCGCGCAGGCGCCTACGGCGCACCGGTATACAGCACTAAGAGGGTGAAGTTCGGGTTCGAGTGGGTGAAGTTCGAGGCGTTGTTTTCAGGGGCGGGTGGTGTCCACAGCTCATTTCACCCCTATGGGCGCCTATGGTAACTGGTGGATCATGACTACCAGGTGGTCGTCAAATGAGGATGTCCAAGTTCGGACTTTCATGACTTGTGACTTCACTTCACCCAAGTGGCCGTAAGCATCGGTGAGCTCTTCATTCTCCCGGCAGTAGGTGGCTAAGCCGAAATCGATCAACTTCAGCGGGGACGTTTCGACCTGCCGGACGCGACGCGAGACGTTCACAGCGGGAGACGCCACTGAAACCATGTCGAGTTGGGGGGAGTCTTGGTGGTTCTGAACGGGCCTATGGATGGAGGCTACCTACTAGCAGCTAAGCCCGGCATAGCTTAGTCTTAGCCTTTTTGGCAAACAAAGAACCCACAAGCTCCTCGCAACTCACATGACTTCAGTCAGATTCTTCCCCCCAAACTCCTTCAAACTGCTAGACATCGACCGAAACCATTCGGGTTTTGTGATTTGGAGGGTTGCAGGGTTTGAATCTGCTTGGCGTGTTCAATTAACTTGAAACATCATGGTCAGTGGCTTCAATCCTGATACTGACTGAGTAAAGGTTGAGAATGCACATCTGAAACCACCACCCAGAAAAAAGAAACCTTGGAGGCAAGGCTTTTTCTGAGGTGCACCTGTCGGCTTCATGGTGAAACATCAAAGACTTTAGCCCATGGGCAGCTGAGCTACACGAGGGTGAAGGGGGAGGAAGCGGCAAGTTCTGATGCCTCTTTCCATGTGGGCTGGCTGTGCTGTGGCTGGCAGTGTTTGGTTTGAGTGCAGGTGTGGTGGTTGGCTCGCTGTCCTCTGTGATTTCGGTTAGTAAACCCCAAACCTAACTTAAACTAGCCCAAACCATTGCAATCCAACCACACAAACACGACCAACCCCAAAAAACACAACTGAACAAATGACAACCTATACCATAACTATAAACCAAACTTAACCCGATTCATTGAAAATGGCAATGGATCGTTCAACCTGGAGCCCTGGTCCACCATTTAGCAAACGACTTTCCCCGGTCGGTCAACCAAGGTATCCTGCTTATGACCCCCAGCCTGACATGGCCAAATCAATCCCTTTTAGATTGTTGAGCACAAAGAAGTACATGGAACCCGGCACTTGTGACCAACCTTACTGCCCCGACCAGGACCTTCCCAGTGACTTGAGATCCCAGAGTGAGGCCGGTCTTGAAAAGGTCACTGGCCAATCCTGAAGAGGTCACTGGGAAGGTCCTGGTACTTGAAAATATACAATAAATGCTGTTGTTACAGTAGTTTTCTGACATGTGCTGACCAAGTTCTTCTATAAATATATGATCGTATATGACTTTCGGCCCAGTGTCGGGTCGTCTCTCAATTAGCCGATTCCGATCCTGTTGGACGACTTGATTTCGATGGCGGAACCACTCGGCCTCGGCGTTCTTCTGAAGGATGAAATTCTCCGGCTTCAAATCCTTGGGTTTCTTATGGTTTTTCTGTCTTGGGAGGATTCTACACCGCAAACACATCCATCGCAGCTCGGTGCATCGTTGATATCCCTGTGTTCATCGATGGAAGACGCCTCGAAACATCTGAATCAAAACATTTGAGGAAACACCGCACCCGAAACCGAACATGTCTTCGTTCACCGGAAAAAATGATCTTGGACACGTGGCGAAACCTGGGGAACGGGATTTCGATGGTTGAACCTGTGGGTCCAACAGCGACGGCCTCGGATGTTCAAACAAACAAAACCTGCTCTCTTCATGTTCCCTTCCATTACGGCAGCTAACATATTTATCCACCCAACCAATCACCACCACACCTTTGGAAAAAACAAGAGTGTTCGAAACCGGTCTAGGTGCTCTTCCATGTACTCCAACTCTAACCTCTCCCTTCCACAGCCGCACCAAAAGTAATGTCGATGACAAAGATTTTCAGGTCTCGATACCCATCACGTGGATTCAAAACGGTTGTTTTTCTCCCGTTCTCTTCTAGTTAGGGCTCTGGTCTTTCGGACTTAGTCCGGGACCGTTCGCATGTTGGAGGCCGAGAGGTCAACGGTATAGAGGTCAACGGAGTCAATTCTGGAGTGAACAACAGTGAACAGGGAAATAACATGGTTGCCATGTTGGCGCCATGCTCTTCCTTTAAGACATGCTTGGCGCCATGGCAAGAAACCACTTGGAACCACTATACCTGCCGCTTGGAACCACCGCTCGTCCCGAACCGACACGGTGGGTCGACTACGGTGGGTCGACCTTTCCTTCCACCGTGCCGCTCGGTGGACGATCTGCTTGCTGTGGCAGTGCGCCACTGCGCCGAAGACCTGTCTCATCGCCACCTGGTCGGGGGAAGGTCTTGGAGGGCCATGGGGCGGGGCAAGGCCTGAAGCTTGGTATCTTGGGGTGTCCACCATGGGGCAAGGCCTGGTTGAGGGTTCCAACTTGTTTTTGTGTTTTTTTTCCAACAAAGCAAAGCCCAGTCGACGATGATGGTTAGGTTGCAGGCCTTTCCCAAGCATGGGAATCATCTCTTACCACCTGTTACTGCTAATGGGATACCCCATAGGACTGACTGTGGGACTGAAATGCCACTGAACCCTTGATCAATGGGGAGTAGGACTGAAGTGGGGACTGAACCCTTGATCAGCAGAGAAGAGGACTCACGATCACTCTTGGGTACAATAGTTGGAAGCACCTCAACTGGGATTGATTCAGCTTCCCTAGAAGGTACGACGGGACCCTCTTGGCACCTACATAGCGGTGTTGAACACATCACCTGCTGAGAAGGTACTTGGATCCCTAGGGCTTCAAGATGCTTCAAGTTTCAAGAATGTTTCAAGATGTTTCAACCTCCATCAGCTTCCAGGACTCCTTGACCCTTCTCAGCACTCAGTTGCAACAGACATGAGGCACCGGATGGATGGAAATGGCCCAACAAAAAACCGTTGGATGCACGGCGCCTGCACCACGGGTTCGCTGAGGTGCGTGGCTTCAGCCAGCGCGTCGAACAGCTCCCCACCCTCGCAAAGCTCCATGACGAGGTAGAGGAAACCTGAGTGTTTTCGGTGCTTTCAATGACATGCGTTATTGTAACAACTCCTGGAAGTCCCCCAAAAGGCTTGCTCTGTCTGCAGATAAATGCAGAGTATGTATGTGTTTTGTATCTATACCAGGACCCACCAAGGGGTGGTTAAAGTCACTCCTTATAACTCTTTTCGGGGCTATTAATGAATAAACATCCCGGTCCTTGTGTGAATGAATGTGTGAAATACAGAGTGTGAATGAAATGGGCCCCCAGTATAGAGGTGTTCCTAACCTAGAAAAAAAAGCACGTGATCAGGATTGATCACATTATACTGCTAAGCATCAGCGTTTGATTGGAGACATGGGCAAAGCACTGCAGCGGGTTGGTGACTAGTCCAAGACCGCTAGTCCAATCCAGCAGGATCCAACGACATCTTCAGGAAGGGACTGAAACCCCCGACCTGCCGGGGACTGGACCCCCCCCAAAATCTGCCGTCCTACGACAAAGCTAGTCCCGGGGGCTCCAACCACATCCTTAGAAGGTGCTTGGGGTGCCAGGGGGGGGTCTAACTGCCTTCTCAGGATGTGGGCCAGGAGCCCTAGGGAGTAAACATCTCAGAATCTATGGGTCCATGAACATCATTCCCGTCGACCCCCTTGAGTCCCGTCTGTGCTCGGGTGTGTGTTCTTCCCACGACCACTCCAAAGGACGCTCATCCTCGTAGGTGGCATAAAGGCGCACGATATTCGGATGGTCCATGACCCGGAGCATCTCGATCTCCCGGTTCACGTCCTGCCGCGTCTCGCGTCTCCCGTCTCCCGGACCAGATCTTCAAACCGTCACGGACGAAGAACCAGGGGTGTAAGATCCCTCTGGACCCATGAACAGTCGGTGATCAATGGGTCGGCTTTTTCGCGAAGCTTTGCAATGCTTGGAAGGAAGAATAGTTCAAAGTTAATTCACCTCATTCAGATTCTTTGTTAGCAGCATTTACCCCCAAATCCTCTGAAAAAAAAATACCACCTCGATCTGGGCTTGGTGCCATCTTGAAATCAATGTGGCTGCTTTGATCATCGTTGAACCACCATTGCTGTCAGGTTGAACCCGCTGCCAGCCCAGGGCCAATTCGGATGTGCCTAGGAGCTTTCGTGTCCAAAGAACTCAAGGACACGCATAGAACCAGTGTGGGCGCCCTGCTGCTGCATATAGAACCCGTGGTGCTTTCGAACTCTTGCAGTGTCTGGTCCTACACATGTCCTAACTGTTCAAGACTGGCTCGACTCGCAAACGTCCAAACCCGCCGCGGCTTTTGAGACCCCATTTAGGCCCAATTGTCTGAAAAAAAGAAGAAAACTCCATGCCCGGCAGCACTCCACACGATTCGTGTGGCATCCCATGGGGCAACGAAAGCATGGCATGACGGTCCATACCAAACCCAGGGTCAACACGGTCGTTCCCTATACAAGAACTGGTTGGTGTTTTCACCTCACTTGAAACATAGTAGTCAGGGGGGTCCAATCATCCCCAAGTAAGGGTTGAAAATAGAAATATCCAAAACCATCACCTAGAAGAACCACTCGTGTTCCCGAGACAAGGTCGACCACATCTGGTGGTGAAAAACTCACCTGAAACCAAACAAACATAGTCAGTGGGATCGATCATGTCAAGTAAAGGTGAAACATGGTTGAACACAAAGATGTCGTCTTCGGTCGACAAACCACTGAAAGCCAAACAGGCTCGGCCCCCAAGAAAAACGGAGAAATTTCACGATTCTCGTCCTCCAGTGACAAGGCCTTTGACTTCCTGAGCAGCTGAGCAGCTGCGTTGACAGGGCACTGAAAAGCACGTTTCTTCTGCGGTTTCACGCTTTCTTCGGTGTTCGGTGGCTTCGATTCCATCCCGTTCCGACGAACGTCGCGCCGAAGGTACAAACCACCGCCGACCGGCCTGAAGACGTACGTACCGTTTGGGGAAGGTCCGAAGAAACCGGTCGGGTTCCCTGGTTCCCAAAGGACCGACTCACAAGGGACGGAAAAGAACCATGGTGTTGACAAACCAACATCCGATGGTCTGGACAAACCAGGATGTAGCTTGAAACATCACCTCATCTCTATCCTGACCAGTATAGGCACTGACCAGTATGAGATCTGACACGTTCAAGAACTTCCTCACACCTTCCTTGCGCAAGAAGGTGCCATCCCCCCCAAAAAAAGCATCCCACCGAGGTCTTGTTGCTTTGGTCAACTGGGTGGAGCGTGTCCACCTGGGGTGGAGCCACCGAAGGTCGTCCTCGCACCACAACGTCCGTTCTTCTCGCACCCAGCTGCTCGATGCGCTTCACTGCACGCATGGTGCCCAGTGCCTGATCCTCGGGTTCTTTTCTCCGCAACCGACGGGGGTGTTTCAGGTGGTTCAGGTCCGACGGGGGTGTTCGTTTCACCAGGTCCGACGAGCCCGAAACAACGGATCTGTTGAACCGGGTCTGAAAAAAACGATGCATGACGAGTCATGACGAAGGGTCTGTTGTTTATGGCTGGGAGTGCGCTGCATTTCTGTATAGTATAAGGTCGACTATTGTTAAGGGCACTCATAGATTTAGAAACCATAAAGTGCAAAACACCTGAAGCCTGTCATAGATCACCCTCTTGGAATGGCTTGTCGGCCATGGCGGCACCATCCTCAATTATATAACCCCTTGGAATTGTCAACCTTCCAATAACAAACATAGAACACCCTGGTGTCAACCAAGATCTGCAGCTGCTCATAGTTTGTAGTGACACAAACACTCCTGGACCCTCATATGAAGGGACCGGACCCTCATATGGAGGGGTCTGGGGATTTCAAACCCCTACCTTTCGAGGAACCAAGGGATGTGAACGGAGCGTCTGGGGAAAAGACTAAACAATAATCAAATTAACACATTCAAAAACCAAGTACCAGGGCCCCCGGGCGGTGTGCGGTGTCCAATTATAGCTCCTTAGAGGTTTTTCGGGATGTCCATGGCCCCCACCCCTGGCAGCGGGGGCCCTGGTAGATGCTGTAATTGAACTCCTTTGGATGCATCCTCTTTGAGGACAAACGACCTGGATCTCCTTAGCACAAGGCCCAGGCTGAACCTTGATTCGAGGCGCCGCCCGTGTCGCTGTTTCGGTCTCAATGGGTCTAAAGGGATCAGACCATCTGAAGATGTACCTCAGGAGCCTTAGGGTTGAATATCATGCATCCCGAAACCTCCGCGGCGCCAAGTTCCCATCGCTGAAGGGCTGAAGCCAAGCGTCCCAGGCTTTGTGAACTGAACCAAAGCCACCTTCCTTGGAGCAGGACGGGGTGATGATCTTGTTGGACATCCCGTTTGTACTAGGCAAGACTCTTCAATCTGAGATGGCCAGGGTCATGTTCTTGTAATTTTCTGTAAGGTGATCTGTGTTGCTCAAAACAGCATCTTTCCAGAAACCGAGCCTGCAAGCGTCTGGGATTTTCTTCACCCTGAGAAACGACTGGCCTTCGTGGCCCCCCTGCACCGGGCATGTGAAGCCACGAGAAACCCCCACCTGGCACCCAAGGTGCAGGCTTCAGAGTCGCATCTTCAAGGATTGAATGCGCTTTCTTGGAAGGTTGGTAACACCTGAAAACAAAGTTTAAGCCTCCCTCCAACGTGGAAGCGGACGTCCTGGCCCCTGGGTTGAGACACATTTCAATCCGAATAATTACAAACCAGGACCATCCTGTCGGGGTGTCCAGGCTGGACTACCCCACACTACCTATAGGCTTCCATTGGGCACCCCTTGGATGGTTCAGGAAACTGGATTTTGTCATGATGTTGGTCCACTTTCATAGTTGCTGCAGTCAGGGGGAAGCAGGTTTGACGGGTGTTGAACCACGATTTTGTGGGGGTTCGTTGCGTTTCAAGCGACGAGGGAACGACTTAAAAAGTGAGAAGCCAAGCACGTTTGGATGTCTTGCAGAAGAATCAGGGAGTTGAAGGCTGTTTTCATTGTCCAGATTGGGTGGATATATATATATATATATATGTGATTTTTGGTTCAATAAGTTGGAAAGTCTGCAAACATCATTAGAATCTAGAACAAAGCCATTTGTTGTCCAGTCAACATGGCGCGCTGGGCCCCGGTCCAGGAATACTTTCTAGGAAGCCGGGGTTAAATAGAACCTCCAAGCAGGGCTTCAGTCCTCGGGAAATCGAACCAAAACCGCCCAACCAGGCGGGGCCGGGTTTCCCCGATCGTGGTCTCTTCCAGCTTGTATCGCTCACTTAAGCAGTTGCACTCGCCCGCCGAACTGATGAACCGGCACCTGTGCGGACGGCGGGAAGTCCATCGACCGGGTGTGACCGAGCCAGAAGAAAACCACCCCCAGGCGCCAACCGGCCGGCTTTGATCTCCTGAATTATCCCTGCGAGAGACCAGAAACAGTGTGTCTAGACATCTACGGTCCAGAGGTGTAGAAGCAGACGGTCCAGAGATCTAGACGTATTGGGTTCCAGAGAGATTTAGAGATCTATAGAGGTCCAGAGATCCATCTATCGGTCTTGAGATCCATTTTAGGTCTTGAGATCCAAACAGATTTAGGAAGCTCCGATCTAAACGCCCAGATCCGAGATCTAGAGGCCTTGGAGGTTTAGATCTCGAGCTCTTGAGATCCAAAGACGTGAAAACAGTGCCTTCAACGGGTGGTTAATGGACACCCCTTAACGGCTAAGGGGCTATAAATAGACACCCCTTGGAGGGTCCTGGTAGATCTATAGAGTTTAGGAGATCTAGAGGTCTAGAATGGTCTACCAGGACCCTCCTGGCCAGGCTGTTTGGAGACCCGACCACAGGTGGTTTCTGGGCACCGGACTTGTCACCAGGAAGCACCTGTGAAGTCGGGTGCTGGTAGAGATCCAAAACTTTTGAGTCTGCCTAGAGGTCTCAAGGTCTCGATGGAGTTTGGAGGGCTAAAGGTCTATCCAATCCAGAGGTCGAGATCTTGAGAAGCAGCAAAGGGGTCTTGAGATCCAGAGGTCTAGTAGAGATCTGGAGGTCTTGACTACATCTAGAGCGGCTAGAAAACCAAGACGTCTCAAACATAACCTATACATGGAGAGACACCCCATTCTTCAGAAAACCCATCTTTCACCTCGAACCCAATGCCAGGTCATGGCGGATTCGGATCATGGAAAGTCAACACGGCGACCGAGCCGGCTCAGGTCACATGGCTCGCACGGCAGGGGCTTGGGGCGCATTCCTGGGATCGGGCTTTCAGAGCTTTAAAAAGATATGAAAAAGACACCAAAACCCAGAGGAAGACGCTGTTGGCTGCGCTCGAAGGCTGCTCCTTGTTCCTCTGATCCTGTAAAACACAGGGGTCCCAGGCGTTCCTGGCATTGTGGGTTTACCACGTCGTTTTGGTGAACATGTTGCGAACAAAACCATTGAACATCGCTTTTTCGTCGCAGTGGGTCCTTATATAGTGTGTATACACATCTAGCATCATCGAACGCAAGGGGTTGGAATATGGATGCCCCCCCGGGGCGACCCTCAGCCGCTTAGCTATAGAGCACCAGTTAGATGCTCAGCTATATTATATATATTACATGCATACAGCATATTACACCATCATAATATATATATATATATACACATCATACACCTACATTGACAAAAAATACATCTCCAAAAATAGGTCAATATCCCAGTAACCCAGCTAAGTTGTGCTCAAGGACGAGAAAATTAGGTCACCATGTCCATTGAGTTCTTCTTTTTTTGACCATTTATATGGCATGATATGGCATGTGTTCCATTGTTTTCCTGCAGTCATGCCAAACCTCTAGAGATCACTTGGTTGCTGCTGCGCGCTGCTGCGCCTGTAGCCATCGCTCCCTGCCCTCGGCCGGTCTGCCAGCAACACTGGCAGCGTGAGCGCACGTATAGGAGCAAGCACCTGCAGGACGAACCCAGGGGGAAACGGAATTCACCACGCCGAACCGGTTCGGCCTCCAACAAATGGACATTGAGAACCAGGCATGGAAGACCGAACATGTGTTTGGCATGGAATGGACACCGGTTCGGCGGATTTGAGAAGTTGTTTGGACGTTTGGAGGTCTGTGCAGGACATGGAGTCATACGTAGCAGGTGAAGATCATGTAGTATATTCTTCAAAAAGGACGCTGCGAAAGCAGCTGGAGAAGCAGCATCAGGACGTGCACAAAAGTATTTTGGAATGTCTTTCTGCGGTCAGTGTGAGGACGTGATGAATTGTAAGATTCTTGTAGGCATTGAAGTCTGTAAGTTGGATTTCTCTCCTCACCGCCAAATCCAAAGACATGCGAGAAAGTCATCTGAACCAAAGGCTGCTTCAAGTAGCCAAGTGAACTCTACTTACTCCTGACCAAGGGCTTCCCAAACAAGAATGACTCGGCTGATCGATGTTGAAAAGCAATCCCAAACACTCCCTGGGCCATCATAGACTGGAATATACACTTTCCTTTTCTTGGACCCCAGGTCCCTGGTCCACTACCCCAGGTCCAATCTTGCCAATCCCAAACAGCTCAGAACAATGCTTCATCATTGAATCATGCTTCATCCCTGTGGCTCCTCAGTTCCAGGGAGGAATCCAAGCCAAAAAGCTCCGAAAACTGGAGCGCCAAACTGCTCGCACACGTCGGGGCCAATCGAATGACCATCCAGTGCACAGGAGGAAACCAAAGCTTCTTTCAACATGGATTGATTTGTCTTCACGCTTGTGCTCGTTTTTTTCATGCATGAACTGGTTTCCAGACCAGTCAGCAAACAGTCGCGAGTTCGAGTTCCAAGGCGTTCCAAAGGAGTGGTTATTGGTGCCCAGAATCCAACGGTACTACCAGCGGTACTGCTTTCAAGCGGTCACCAGTGGACAGTCGGACAGCCCAACACGACTTTACAATGACTTATATAGGTCTCCATTGGGCACCCCTTGGAAGAGCTAATGAATTGCTGGTGGGGCCTACTCGGGTCCAACTACCATGGCTGAGAGGCGCATTTGCATGTCTATCTCAATCCTAAGAGTCTCACTAGAGCTCAGTCTTCGCGAAGGGGAACAGGAACTGGTGGATGTCGACTTGCCGGCACCAGTCACGCTTCCAATCTTCACCCGAGTCACAGGTGTCTTCTCCCGCAGCTCCATCTCCCTCTGCCCGAAGCGCCTTGGGGATCGATACGATGCACTGGTGCATGGGAGGCCAGTGGGGTCTGCCCTCAACGATCGTTGAAGTGATGCAAATCACGGTCTCCCCACAAAAAGAACACACCCAGTCTTGAGCTAAACATGTTCCCCAAGGAGCCCGGCACGCCCGTCACCAGAGTCCAAGAGCTGCAAGACATGGTTGGGTGGATTCTCCTTGCAGAATTGACCTCAAAACCATGTCTTCATGGTTTCAGCCTTTGCCAACTGCTTACTGCCCCTGTCATACCCCGTCTTCTTCCTCGACTTGGCTCAGCTCAATAGGCACCTTCAGGACCCCACGAGGTGAGGAAAGCAAAGGCCCAACCAAACACAGTACCCTACAAGTCCAGTCCGACCCAGTAAAACCTGGTCCTTTACCTCCCTGAGTAGTGTGTTTTTGTATGAAACAACTCCAGTCATTGATGGTCATTGACCTGTAGGGGTACATGTTCAGGGACAAACCTCTGCCACGGAGGATCCCAGGTCTCTGCCATCCTCCGGAGTCTTTCCGGGTGAAGGGTCAGTTGGTAGACTCCTGGTGAAGGGTCAGTCACCCTCTTCAAGTTCATCTCTTGCGAACCTATACACCTGCAACATACTCAGCCGTTGGTTCCGGTCACCCACAGCCCGAGATCCCTTCCTACTCCTCCTCCAAAGATCTTGGAACCAACACCCTCACAGCCACAACTCGCGAGTGCAACGCCCAATTGGCTTCATTCACCAGGCCATGTCCAAGTTGAAGTGGATTCGTTTGGGAATCATCCCCTCCATCGCTCGATCCACGTGGAGCAGACCTCGCAGACCTCAAGGACGTCCAGCCGCCTCCTCGCCCCGCCGTCGCTTGCTCGCGCCGCCTCCTCGCCCCGCGCGGCGTATCCGAGTGGCAGAAAGAGCGTCTGATCTGGACTGGGCGTGTCTGGCATGATTCGGTTCCCGATCGACTCCCAGTCCACGCGCTCCTGCTGCCCTGGGCATGGAGCGAGATCAAGCGGCGCGCGAGTGGCCAGTGGCGGCGGAATCGTGACGGGTAGAAGTTCAAAGGACCCAGAAACAGAACCGGTTTCAGCAACCAAATTCAAACGGCCAACAACACGTTCACAAATACAATACAAATACAGTAACATAATGTCATATCATATAACAAATTAAATGACTGGTTGGTGTTTTCAACCCACTTGAAAAATATTAGTCAGAGGGTCCAATCATCCCCAAGTAAGGGTTGACAATACAAATATCCGAAACCATCACCTAGATGATGATAATAGAAGGCGTACATGGTGAAATAAGTGCATGGTTATGCCCGTGGGATGCTGGGGTGCAGCACACCGGTCCGTCCGATGGCGTCGTCGAAATCCATTCCAGGCGTGTGGGTCGTCCGAAGCAAACTCCCCTAGAAACCCGAAACACTCCAGAAACCCTCCCTAGGGAACTAACATGGTTAATGGGGGGTCCCTCAGTATACCCCAGAATCTTTCACTAAGGCACCCCCCATCGTGGTTTCGTGGGTGGCACGCCTGTAGGTTTGGTCTTCGGATGACCTGTTGGATCTTCCGAACAACTCGGGGCCCGGGGCCAGGCCCATCACCACGAGGTTCAGTCACGAAAAAACTTGACCGGTCACTAAAGACCTGAGGTCAAAGACGCGGTACGTACCCGTAGGTATGTAACAAGCTTAAGTACGGTGGGTTGTGTTGGATTTTGCGGCGGGTTTGATGGTGAATGTACAGCTCATCAAAAATTCGCCAGTCAGGCACCGCCAGTCAGCTCACACTCCAGAAAACCCGAAGGCACCAATTTTTGCGAGGCACCGAAGTGAACAACCTTCACCAATCTAGCCGGCGTTGTCTCTGAAACACCAGGCGAATCATCGGACATCCGACCACAAGAGAACTGAGGAACTGCTATATACAGAAACCCCTTAGGATCGCTTCTGCCACATCTCCCCATCTCCCATCCATGGGGTGCGCAGAACGTGATCCCTGAGCTCGAGACGCCCTTGGCTTGATTTTCCACCCCCTACCACCACCCCATCCTTCGCCCAAGATTCTCCGGATCAGTAGCTTAAACTCAGAGCCCACCATGCACGGGAGCCTTGTTGAGCGTTTTTGTTCAAAAGCACCCAACTGGGTGCCGGGTGTTGATCTCAAACAAGATCATCCATGTATAGGCTTGTGAGAGCTTGATGGCCACCCACTATTGTATGATGTCAACCCAGTTCCTCCAACATGCTGGTTTCTAGGCTTGTGTTCAGCAGGTGGTTTTATATCAATTGCCATTCCATCGCGCTACATCTCTTTCCGGTTCAGTCTCTGTTACGAAGGTGCTTAGGTGCGGGAGGTACGAACTCTTGGGGGTCTGTTCCTCGACGTGCGATCGGACGGACACGGAAAGATGCGATCACAAGGGATCAACATAATCGATAACTTGAAAAGCTCAGCACTCAAGAAAGACTCAGACAAGAAACTTAGATTCCAAAGCAACTGAAATGAGACTCCAATTAGACTCAGCTTAGACTCGAATTGGACTCAGAAAAAACTCAAGGAACAGCTAAACACAGCCACTCTTTGCGTAGAATGGCTTAGAATGGAGTTGACTTGCTCTTGATTATTTGTTGAATTCTTGCATGAGTTTTGCTGACAACTGTGTGAAATGAGTTCCTGACTTGAACATCAACTAGTTCGGTGTGAAAAAAGGGGTGGGTCACTGCCAATAGACTGCCAAACGTACTAATGAGTCTGTGTTCCCAGCAGTCACAAGACGGGGTGCCCATGATCCACTCACTGGATGGGACGAGCCCTCGACCCTCCAGAGTTCGGGGGGGATGGGCTAACAACAGTACACTATAGCTCTGACGTTCCCACATCCCAGACGTGGTTCTCACATGGGTTTCCAAAAGGACCAGGTTTCTCAATGCCCAACAGGTGGTTTTCCATGTCCATGTTAGTGAGTCAAAGCGTACGTATACAATTCCCAGGAGATCTAATTACGCTTCTGGGTTCATAGAAACAGACTCTCCGCGCTCCGGAGGTCATCCCGAGCAAATTCACCTCATGTTGCTCACCAGCGGAGACCCAACCAACACAGCGACGCGGAAGTGAGGTGAGAACCATGTGTTTCAATGAAACACTTGGTTTTCACCTCACTTCCGCCTAACACGCCATGTTTCACGCGCATCAATGGACCGTCCGAACTCGTACAGCCACGCACAGTAGACGGTGCACAGCAGCAACGTCTGTTGAGAGTTACCCACCTTCCTGCGCCACATGCACAAAAGAGGTGGATTTTCCAACAGGTTTTGGAGACCAAACCGGAGAAACGGTTCCAGATTTCCACATGGATTTGCTTAAACAACCAATTGTTTTGTTTGTTTGTTTCCGTCCAAAGTCTTGAACTTTGCTTTGTTTTCAGGGTTGATGGCACAAATTCATCATCAACGGCAGCTCAACACCCATGTCCCTCACCACACGGAAGTCCAGGATCGGTACACTCCGATTCACTAACAGCCAGGCCAAACACTCCATGTATGGAATAGTTGCTTGCCACCCAATGCAAAGGCTATGGCACTTCCATTTGTCGTCTTTGGGGTTATGAAAGTAGATGGCGCTACTTGGTTTATTATATGAGTAGTTCAAAAACCACTTGGCCAATCTTCCGTCACTCTGTGCCCATCGCCGCCAAAACCGCCAAGCCGCGCGTCCAAACCGCCGAAACGTCAACTCCACCCCTGCCCCTCCCATCCGCCGCATCGAACCCGCCCGCTCAGCAACAAACCCGCCCAGCTGCTGAGCGGTCCACATGGGCCATTGCTCGGGGCTCGTGCGAAGCTGCACGGCCAAGGACACCTCCCAAGCTCCGTAGAGCGGGTCTGCACCGCCTGAGGGTGACCGGTGGACGGCGTCTTTTTGAGGCGGTGAACTGGAAAAGAGATATGAACAAGGCCTGGTGTGCTGAAGTGAAGGTGTTGTCGCCTGTGATATTAATGAATTGTTTTGAACTTACATCAAACAAATTATTTTACTTCGAGTGATTCCTCCATGACATTTCAATTGTTTTTCATGCCATGGCTGGTGAGGAGCATGTTGCCATGGTGGTGAGCTTTGTTTGTGGGTCCTCGGGTTTGGGATTGTTATTTTAGTGTTGGGGAGTTCGCGTCGGGGTGTCGCCAGGGTCTACAGTTGGCATCCAAAGTGGTACCCGTGACCACCTGCGACCCAAAATGCCACACACACAGAGAGGTAATCATATTGTAGTCGTTGTGTGTTTGTGGTTGTGTGTTTGTGGTTGTGTGTTTGGGGTTGTGTGTTTGTGGTCGTGTTTGTGGTTGTGTGCTTGTGTGTTTGTGATTGGGTTTGTGGTGTGTTTGTGGCTGTATGTTTGTGATTGTGTGTTTGTGGTTGTGTTTGCGATTGTGTTTGTGGTTGTGTTTATGGCTGTGTGTTTGTGATTGTGTTCGTGGCTTGTCTGTTCGTGGTTGTCCTTTGTGCTGTGGCTGTGCCCTGCTGGCTTTGTATTGTGTATTATGTGTTTGTGGTTATGTTGTGTGGTTGTGTGTTGAGGTCCGGTAGTGCCCACTGCGATCTCATACTTGCCGTTGAGGTCCGGCAGTGCCGCTGTGATCTGGCACTTGCAGTTGTTGAGGTGCAGAAGAGGAGGAGAGGAGAAGAAGAGCTCTAACAGGTGGGGAAAAAACATGTCGCGATTCGACCCTATATGGGTTCCCACATCTCAAAAGGTATATAGTCATATATCCCCCTGGCACCCACCTGAACTACTGAACCTTTTCATGTCATTGGAGAATAGGGAAAACACAAGCACTGGATGAAGCAAAGCCAATGATGGAAGGCACCGAAACCAATCAGATCTGCGAGGGGATTGCGGAATGCCCAAATGCTCCCCGGGAGCCTCATATCACCAGCCCCGAATTCTTTGGAGGGGTCTGGGGTCGAATGAAACCCCTAAGTCTTGAGAGACCGGTCGGGATGTGAACGGAGCGTCCGGGTGGATGGCAAAAAGCAAATGGTTGCCACGAGTGGAATGATCACGTTTTCTGTTGCTGCTTTTTGTTTGGTCTTTGTCACGATTGATTGTAATTTATTTGTTCATACCAGCATCCTCCAACAGGTCACCAATTGAGAGACTGATGGGGCCCAAGAACCCTCCAAAGGAGACCTGTTGGAGGATGCTGGGAAATATATATATATATATGTCAGGAAGTATGTCAGGATATCAGAGCACCCAAGTGGCCGGATTTGTCTCTGTGTCTTTCTCTTCGTTTCAGAAAGCAAACACTCCACGGATCTCCACGGGTGTCCCGTGGGTGTCCCCAACAGGGGGGTGGTGCACCAGAGTTGACTCCAGAGTTGACCATCTATTCCAGTGCCATTTCTTGCAGGTCGCGTCAGGAAGCTGTAGCCGAGGCACAAAGGTAGAGCTCATCACCTGCAGTTCCCCAAGATCCAGCCGGTTCGTTGAGAGGTGTTTGGTCGTTTTTAGAGAGCTTGATAGCCTTTGGAACTTGGGTGTGGATTGAAACAGGATTGAATTGATAAAGATATTGATCATCTTCAAATGGAACCCCTCAACTGACCTCCAATTGAATGTGTATATAATCGTTTTTCAGAAGGGTGTTGAACATCCATATCGGCTTGAAATAGGATCCCGAATAACATCGACCTCGTCACCACCTTTTTCGGCACTCACTTCATGGCTTCCCGTCGGCTTCGAACTCGGCTTCGGCCGCCGCCGGCTCGGAACTTGGGAAGCCGACTTCGCGTGCAGCACAGCGCTCGGATCGGTTTCGTTCACCCACCAAACGGGTCGGCCTCCTTGTTGCGTGGGACAGGGTTCCGATGTTTCCAAGCAGGGGGCCGGAGCCAGGTGGGGGGTCTCCGGCCAATGAAGACGCCCCCCACCTGGGTGAAAACGTACCTGCGTTTTTCCAATTTAATGTTTAATCAAGCTCTAAAGTGCCAATGCAAGATGAAAACAATGTTGAAACATCTCCAATTTTCCGGACTCCATCGCCTTTCCGTTCTGCATTTTTCCCCAAATAGTTTACTGTTGGGGTTCTATCTTAGAAAGAAAAGAGCTGGCCACACTCACTGGCCGCGCCCCTGAACTCTGTAGCTGGGCTCCGTGGCTGGGCTCTGTGGCTGGGCCTTGTCCTCCTCTTGGCCGCGCCCCTGAACTCTGTCAACTCTGAGAGAAAAAAAAAGAAAGAAAGAAAGACAGACAGACAGAAAGAAAGAAAGACAGCAGGGCGAGCGCGTGCGCTCGTGTGCTATGGACGGCGTGCTCACGCTCCAAAAAGGCGCGCTTAGAGCGCGCTCTGCAGAGAGAAATATACTTAAAGAGCAAGGGAGAGAAGAGAGAGAGAGAGAGACAGAAAGAAAGAAAGAAAGAAAGAACGAACGAAAGAAAGAAAGAAAGACAGCAGGGCGAGCCCGCGCGCGCTCGTGTGCTTCGGACGGCGCGCTCTGCGCGCTCTGAAATACGCTCCAGAAAGGCGCGCTCACTGCGCGCTCTGCAGACAGAAAGACAGAGAAAGAGAAACTTAAAGAGAAAGAGCGAGAGAGAGAGAGAGCGGGAGAGATAGAGAGAGAGAGAGAAAGAAAGAAAGAAAGACAGAAAGAAAGAAAGACAGACAGACAGAAAGAAAGAAAGAAAAGGAAAGGAACGGAAGGGAAAGGAAAGGAAATGAAAGAAAAGATAAGAAAAGAAAAGGAAAGAAAAGGAAAGAAAAGAAAAGACAATAAAAGAAAAGGAAGAAAGAAAGAAAGCAAGCAAGAAAGAAAGAAAGACAGAAAGAAAGAAAGAAAAACAGAAGAAAGAAAGAAAGAAAAAAAGAAAGAAAGAAAGAAGGCAGCAGGGCGCGCGCGCTCGTGTGCTATGGGCGGCGCGCTCGCGCGCGCTCTGAAATACGCTCCAGAAAGGCGCGCTCAGAGCGCGCTTTGCAGAGAGAAAGACAGACAAAGAGAAGCTTGAAGAGAAAGAGAGAGAGAGAGAAAGAAAGAAAGAAAGAAAGAAAGAAAGAAAGAAAGAAAGAAAGACAGCGCGCGCGCTCTCGTGTGCTATGGACGGCGCGCTCACGCTTCAGAAAGGCGCGCTTAGAGCGCGCTCTGCAGAGAGAAAGACAGAGAAAGAGAAACTTAAAGAGAAAGTGAGAGAGAGAGAGAGAGAGGGAGAGAGAGAGAGAGAGAGAGAGCGAGAGACAGCAGGGCGAGCGCGCTCGTGTGCTTTGGACGGCGCGCTCTGGCGCGCTCCAAGAAAGGCGCGCTCAGCGCGCTCTGCAGAGAGAAAGACAGAGAAAGAGAAACTTATATAAAGAGAGAGAGAGAGAGAAAGAGAAAGAAAGAGAGCAGGGCGAGCGCTCGCACGCTCGTGTGCTATGGACGGCGCGCTCACGCTCTAGAAAGGCGCGGTCAGAGCGCGCTGCGCAGAGAGAAAGACAGAGAAAGAACCACTTAAAGAGAATGAGCGCGAGAGAGAGAGAGAGAGAAAGCAAGAACAAAAGAAAGAAAGAAAGAAAGAAAGATAGATAGAAGACAGAAAGAAAGAAAGAAAAGGAAAGGAACGGAAGGGAAGGGAAAGGAAAGGAAAGAAAAGAAAAGGAAAGAAAAGGAAAGAAAAGAAAAGAAAGAAAGCAAGCAAGCAAGAAAGAAAGAGAGAAAGAGAGAGAGAGAGAGCAGGGCGAGCGTGTGCTATGGACGGCTTACTGGGCTCTTGTCCTCCTCTTGTCCTTGTCTTGGCCGCGCCCCTGAACTCTGTGGCTGGGCTCTGTGGCCGGCTCTGTGTCCGGGTCTTGTCCTCCTCTTGTCCTTGTCTTGGCCGCGCCCCTGAACTCTGTGGCTTGTCTCTGTGGCCCGGCTTACTGGAGAGGAGTGTGGCCGAACAAATAGCGATGTCAATGCCGACAAATATTCATTGATGAAGCAGTTTGCCCTTGGAGTGAAAGTAGGGCGTACCAAGAAATCGATGTTCGACTAAAACGAATCGTTTTGAAGCTGTTTGGGGTCATGCAGTCTATGCTTGTATAATTGAGTCAAGGTCTAGTTGCACTAAAGGGAAACTTTTGTTAAACTATACTGTTCTCGCTGACCCATGCGCCTTTCTGTTCCCTCACCTTCCTTCTCAACGTGGGAACTGAGTTAACTGCAAACCAATGTCAGAGTGTGAACCGCGCAGCCGTCCCACTTGGGTGCTGGGTGTGATCCCCGTGAAAGGGGCGCCGAAGCTATACCGGAAATCATCCTTCCCTTTCATAACTGATTTTTCTCCACTGACTCACCTGTTCCACTTCCATAACTGAATTCACTGAACAAAGAGCCGCCGGGCTTTCACGGTGAACAACCATGGCCGCCGGGCCAAAAAACGGAATTCCACTTGCGGTCAGGCATGTTTCCCTTCCCCCCCCCCGCCGAGTTCTACTCCCCACCTAATTAGGGCAACACAGGGAAATGGTACTCGACACACTTGTGTGTCGGTGCCTTTCCCTTTGTTGTTCCTGTTCTAGTCTTCTCTACCCGGGCGGTCTAAGACTAAAGTCCCGCTCCCTAACTATTGCATTTAATTCGCCTCGGCCAAGTAATCAGTAACTCTAGAGTGCTAAGTAGTCATACACACACACACGGACACACACATGCTACATACACCCCCTCCCTGCCCCCCTTTCTTTCTTACGCTTTCGGTCGTTTCTTGGGCTTTCTCTCGAGCTTTTTAGGTTGTTCTTGAGGCTCGTTTCCCTGCCCCAGTCAAGGGCTAAGTATTCACCTTTTTTCTACACCTATCTTTCTCTCTTGCCCTCTTAGCGCTGCTCTTTCTGTGTTTCTTTCTTTTGTTTCTAAGGCTTTTTAGGTGCCTATTCAGGTCGATCGCACGAGCGCCGCAAAGCGGCACCGTGTGTGCGTCACCCCTGTACCTAAGGGTTCCGATGTTTCCAAGCACGGGGCCGGAGCCAGGTGGGGGGTCTCCGGCCAATGAAGACGCCCCCCCACCTGGGTGAAAACGTACCTGCGTCTTTCCAATTTAATTTTCAATCAAGCTCTAAAGTGCTAATGCAAGATGAAAACAATGTTGAAACATCTCCAATTTTCCGGACTCCATCGCCTTTCCGTTCTGCATTTTTGAGTCAAGGTCTAGTTGCACTAAAGGGAAACTTTTGTTAAACTATACTGTTCTCGCTGACCCATGCGCCTTTCTGTTCCCTCACCTTCCTTCTCAACGTGGGAACTGAGTTAACTGCAAACCAATGTCAGAGTGTGTCGTGGGCCATGTGAGGTGTCCGGAAAGCTTTCACTACTCCACGTGGCCTTCGGCCTTTTGGATGGCGCCCAGCGTTTGTGGGAGGACTTCGGAGGTCCTCCTCACCCCAGGGGGGCCGAAGTGCCACGAAAAGGTCGTGAGGATCGAACACGAAGGGGGTGAGTCCAGGTACGGCAACCCAAAGCACCCTCCGCACCTGAAAGCCTGATTTGAGCCTGATGATCGCAGGAGTTCGGGTTGGTGGGTTTCAACTCACGTGCGAAGACATGTGAGTCAGAGGGTTCAATTCGTTAAACATGTTACACACAAACATCTTCGAAAACACACACACACACACAAACAAACAAACAAACAAACAACGCATGTGTTTGTCTTGGGCCACGCTTCTTTCGAAAACCACAATACTCTTGTGGAGTCCACGGAGTTCGGTCAACAGGAACCTACATGTGGAGGATATCGTCGATGTGAACACGTTTGTCGATGTTCCAAGTCCTTTTTTGTGTCCCCAACATGTCCATCCACCCGCGGACATGAGATCCCCCCCCAAAAAAACAAAACAATATATATATATATAACAAACATAATTAGTCTCTACACAAAAAAAGGCAATACAATCCAGTCTAATCCAGCCATGGTCGGTCATGTGTCTGTCCTGCAATCATCCCTTTTGAAATGGCACCTTCCGAGGTCAACGCGCATTCGGCTTCCACGGTGAAGGCCATGGCAGCATTCTTCGACTGACACTTCTAGGAAGTCGAACGAAAACAAGTTGGAACATCTCAGGAACCCTTTGTGCATGTCCAAACTAACGCGCCGACCCTTAGATTCGTTCTCGTTAGCCTAAAACTGTTTCGCCATCTTTTGCGAGATCATGCGCTGATGAGATGTTGATGATATCGAGGATGCAGGGACTCGTGAGTGTTGCGCTGAAAAAACTGTTGTCAGCAAACAAACCCTGCACCTGTACGCTAAGAGCGGGTACAAGGTCGTGCGCAAGGTCGTGCAATGGTTCGCAGGTGACCTTTCGGCTGGTTTGGTTCTCATCCAAATTAGCAGTTACATAGCCATAGCCATAACGTGTTCTTCTTCTAGAGCCTCTGGTTACAAAACTGTTGGGTAACCAAACAATAATGTGTTCAAAGACTGTTCAGTATCATTTACAATAACTGGGATCCCGGGAACACAACAAACTTTGGGACATCACGTCCGGATCTCCGCTCGCAATGCAAAACATGGAAGCCAGCGATAGCATGCCGGATACTCCAATTCGGTGCCCCAGAAACACCAAATCCTAATCTCAGCCGTCTCATGTGAGCCTCTGCCGCAATGACATCGCGGTGGGGGGCTAGGTGTCCTCGTTTTTGAATGGCATGTCTAACAAGTGTGGACTGATGTGGTTCTTGCGAAGGGCCACCCGGCAGTACGGACTTGCGACCGGGGCCAAAGGTTGACGAATAACGGTGGGATTCCAGCAACCGCTATTTAATGATCATTGTCTTGCCGATTAATCTTGGACAAATGCGAGGTCAACCAGGGTGCACTTTGCAAAGGGTGATTAGTTGGACGAAACAATTCACGACCGGCAATTTTGCTAAGCCTTTGGAACAACACGCCTGCTAAACACGATCGGATATTCCATGGATGTTCCCGCAGCATGCCAAAGCCATTCGGTTTCATCGTTTTCTAAGCACTAGACGCGCCCCATAAACTAGACGTGTCTGCCATCCCTCCCCCTCCATGCAATCCTTTTTGGTCCCGCTGCACACGCTGTCGGCATTTCGGCGCTCACGCTCCTGGGCTGGTTTGGAGAAACCCTGCTCAAACGATAACATGTATACCTTAGCACCAAAGCCTGAATTTGGTCGTTCCTTCGATCTAAATGTTATTTTTTATCTACAGTATGCTTGAATATATTTTCCTGGTGCGTACGCGCGCGCGAGCGGGTGTGTGTGTGTGTGTGTCACCCCCTGTGCCAAAGGGTTCACTGCCA